CCAATCAGATAAAACGTCTCTCCAATAAGGCTTATCATGGTCAGATAAACAATCAAAAGCATTAGAGCCAAGTGAGGATAAAGGAAATACAGGAAGGATGTTTGTCGATTTCTTTAGTTTTTTAATATAGTTTTTCAGTGAAGATAATTTCAAAGCATTAATGAAACATTCTATAATCCATCATCCTGAGGCCCCCATCTTAATAATCTCTGTTCATAGTTGATCTCTTTATTTTGTCGTTTTTATTTTTCCATAAAAATCTATAAATTAGTTTATTGAGTTCTTTAATGAATGTTTTAGGTGGGTTGGGCAGTGCAGAGAAAATATGTTCAAGAGTTGAGATTGCCAAAGTTTTAATAACATTGATTTTTCCAATAAGAGCCAAATTTCTTCTGCGCCAATTGACAAGTAATCTATTGATATGTTCTAAGCGTTTCCTTGTGTTATTCACCCACAGGTCATTTAATGAACCATTTAAGGTAATTCCTAAACTTTCACAGTCCCCTCCGTGCCAGTCAAGATTAAGGTCATTGGATAAAGTTATATAACTTTCAGACATTGAACCTATCCAAATTGCTTTGTTTTATCTATGTTCATTTTAAGTCCTGAGACTTGGTGAACATTGTTCGGTGTTTCCATTGCTACATTCAGGCTTTTTGTCAGATCCATCTAGAAATAACTGAGTTTTCGTCAGCATACTGTCCTACTTTATGTTCAATATCATTAAGTGTTATACCCTTTATGTCCGGACTTGTCCTTATCATAGTACCTAATATTTCGACTGCAAGAATGAATAAGTACTGTGAAATTGGATCTCCCTGTGTACATCCCCTTTCAAGTCTGAAAAAGATGACAAATGTCCATTTTGAATAACTGATGCTGTTAAATTTGAGGTTAAAATTTTTACTCATTTCATATAATATTTGGACCAAAACCCAAATTGTTCAATACCTGTGTCAAAACAGATTTACAGATAATATCAAAGGCTTTGTCAATATTTAATTTTTAAGTTTCAAAACCATTATCATAGAGCATCCTGGTGTTTTCACTAATACATCTACCAGGAATGAATCCTGTTTGATTCTCATGTATAACTATATTCAAGTTTTTTTCAGTCTATTTGCAATACATGAACTGATTATTTTATTTTTTAACATTTTTCTGTCCTTATATGGTTTTGGAAAACATTCATTGTACATGTTAATGAATTGTTAGTAAAGGTCTCCTTTATAAATCTAAATAGCCATTAGCTTAAGTCCTTCCAAAAGAATTTGAAAATGTTTATAGGATAACCATCAATACCTGTGCTCTTATTGTTTTTCATCTTTTTTTTTCCTCCATTGTCAGGTCCTTTTCCAGGTCGTCATACTCTTTCTGGTTTATTTTTGGTGTAGTTATATTGTTCAGATGTTCATTAATGTTAACATCGCTGTTTGATTGTTCATAAAGTTTAGAATAGAAACTTTTCAATTCTACTAAAATGCATGATTTTCCATCTATAATAATTTCTCCATTTTCTTTCCTTATACTATTTATCAGTTTGCTAGTATAATGTCTATTTACGAGATGGCAAAAGTAATTAGTTGGTTTCTCTCCTTCTTCGTACCATGAAATTCTCTTTCAGATTTGGATTCCTCTGATTTCCTCTTCCTGGTATTGTTCTAATTGCGCAGATAATAGTTTTTCATTAATACTTTGGAAAATATTTCTAATATTGTCTTCTAGATCTTTCATATTTTCTTCTAATTGTTGTATTTTCTTAGTTTTATCTTTCTTCAAAAAAGAGTAAGAAATGGTTTTCCCTCTGAAGTTCTTTGGAAAAGTATCTAAAAATAAACAGTCTGACATTTTCAGTCGCAAGGTTCTGTCTTCAATAAGAGTTTCAGTATCTTACTCGGCATATGTTCTGTCTGCATATTCATATAATGTTTCCTTTAGAGTATCCTTGACAATTTTAATATGCTCTTGATTGCGTAACAATAAGGTGTTGAATTTCCAATACCCCGTCCCCTTTCCTTTTTTAAAGCATTTGACAAAAACAGTTACTGATGTTAACAACATGACTGTGTGTAACTCTATCCAAGACTAAGACATTGCAGTTCAGCATGTATGCAATGATATCACATTTGCTGATGTTAACATTTCGTTGTGTAACTCTATCCCAGACGGGGACATTACAGTTCAGCATTTAAGCAATGATATCACAGTCGCTGATGTTAACAACATTTCCTTGTGTAACTCTATCCCAGACGGGGACATTACAGTTCAGCATGTAAGCAATGATATCACAGTCGCTGATGTTAACAACATTTCGTTGTGTAACTCTATTCCAGGCTGGGACATTGCAGTTAAGTTTGTATGCAATGATATCACAGTTGCTGGTGGTAATCACATTTCGTTGTGTAACTCTATCCCAGGCTAAGACATTGCAGTTCAGCAGGTATGCAATGATATCACATTTGCTGATGTTAACAACATTTCGTTGTGTAACTCTATTCCAGGCTGGGACATTGCAGTTAAGTTTGTATGCAATGATATCACATTTGCTGATGTTAACAACATTTCGTTGTGTAACTCTATTCCAGGCTGGGACATTGCAGTTAAGTTTGTATGCAATGATATCACAGTTGCTGGTGGTAATCACATTTCGTTGTGTAACTCTATTCCAGACGGGGACATTACAGTTCATCATGTACGCAATGATAAAACAGTTGCTGGTGGTAATCACATTTCGTTGTGTAACTCTATCCCAGGCTAAGACATTGCTGTTCAGCAGGTATGCAATGATATCACATTTGCTGATGTTAACAACATTTCGTTGTGTAACTGTATTCCAGGCTGGGACAGTGCAGTTAAGTTTGTATGCAATGATATCACAGTTGCTGGTGGTAATCACATTTCGTTGTGTAACTCTATCCCAGGCTAAGACATTGCAGCTCAGCATGTATGCAATGATATCACAGTTGCTGGTGGTAATCACATTTCGTTGTGTAACGCTATCCCAGGCTAAGGCATTGCAGCTCAGCATGTATGCAATGATATCACCCTGTCCAGCATTGGGTGTTGACCTTATGAATCCCTACTCCACTGTCTGACTGATGAGATATCCGACCTGTGGCATATTTATGAGACCAAAACCTCTGAAGGCGTGACCGGCCTTTCATAACCACCTATTTTCATTGTGATGCTAATGAGACCCATATAAATCTTCAAACTATTGGCTGTTACTTCTATATTTCTGCTACTATCAGTCACACTTATGTATGTACAGTCGGGGTTTATTGCCATGTGGTAAATTCCTATAATTCCACAAATGGCTGTTTATCATAGAACATGTTTCTTTGATAAGAAAAATAGTTGTTGAAGCTTCCATAAAATCCACACTCAGCCGATTTTAAATAAAATGGAGAAAACTTTTGAGATCCAAGATTTGTGTCCATGTGTGGCCCATTCTAAAGCAATCATTATGTCAAAGGGTATTCCATTCTGTCTTGACAGTTTTTTAGTAAAATCTTAATATTTCAATGCTTTGTTTTGTCGAGTATTCTTCAAAACCATTTCACTGTTTAGAGCTCAATCTCAAGTCGATCTGAGGTTGTAAGAAGGATGAAGAGGCGTTTTGCATGGCATTGATTCACCTGATAGTATACTCCCTAAATGGATGACGCTTAGAGCATAGAAGAGTGTACCAATGCTTCAGAAGGTCTTGAGATAATTTCATAAGTCATTCACCCTGCCTTAATACACTTGCGTTAAAGATGGAAAAGGTTCTGTGATCTGCTGTCGCGTAGTGTAACCAAAGAAAAGAAACAAGAAAGGTATACTATTAATTGAATTATATTTCCTGGTCTCTAAAGTATAAACATGTAGTTGTACGAGATCAGATTGTATTTGTAAAATGGAGATTTGTTTGTGTTCACTTTCATCGGTATTCTCCACTTGTAACACCATTTACCAGACTGGTACTAAAAGGAGTGCGTGAGTTTTGTTTTACGCCGCTTTTAGCAATATCACAGCAATATCATGGCGGGGGACACCAGAAATGGGCTTCACACATTGTACCCATGTGGGGAATCGAAACCAGATCTTCGGCGTGAAGAGCGAACGCTTTAGCTACTAGGCTACCCCACCGCCCCTGGTACTAAAAGGGCAATATCATCTTGGAACAAAGGTACATATATCATTACATGTTAAAAGTATGGGAGTTACGATCTTCTTAGCGCTAGCGGTCCCTTGCAAAGGAAATAAAACCACTTTCGACAGTCTTCCCTTTCTCACAGCCTTGTGGATGTCTTGAAGACATGGGCTTTTCCTGGAAAGAGACATACAGTTTTCCAAAATTGTCTCCACCACAACACACAGCCTGGGGTTTTTTTCAGATAATTGTTAGAAAAAATAGTTATGTTTCCGCAACTGTTAAACAAATTGCAATGTCTTACACACAAAAAACAACACTTTGCCGCAGGATGTTTGGAAAAAGACAGGTATTTATGTCCAGAGTTTTGGATTGTCTCTATATAAATCACACGTGCACCCATCCCCAAGAAAATCTAACCCTCAGCCCCTTCATAGGCCATTAGAGAATGATGGTGAGTAGACCAGTTATTACAAAGCACTCGTTCGACGAAGACCCGCGTTCCATTCCCCATATGGATACAATATGTGAAGCCGATTTCTGGTGTCCCCCGCCGTGATATTGCCGGAATATTGCGGAGTAAAATCATTCTCACCCACTCATCAGAGTGTGGTACTGTATTCTGATGGTAGATGTCCCAATATGTTTGAATATAGGATGCTCAGGGTACAAACTATTTATTTCATTCAATGCTTGTACATCTTGTACAATTTTGGATAATATTCAATTTCTTCCTCTGAAAACCGCCGTAGCTGGTATACGTCTTATAACCATGAAAGCAACGCGAATTCCTGGCTGGGCTCCCACTTTGCGTAAGCGGGCAACTTGATATAACCAGTCTTTCAAAGGGAGCGCACTCCAAATATTCATGCGTTATGTTTACAATTTGTCAGAGAAGAGAGTCATCCTCAAACGATAATGTTTGTTTCGGAGGCAGAAACATAAGCATATCAGATGACAACATTTTAGTCAAGAAGGGCTAGAAGCACATAACGAAGAGTACTTACTCTTTAGACTTAGAATATACTGTTGCAAGACTACGGTAAGTGATTTGTCTCGTCGCACAGAACAGTGAACTCTGTGAACAGCACAACTATCGGCGTGAATACGTTGGGAAATACTGACCACTATGTGTCTCAGACGTTTTTGCTTAGACTTTTCTCACAGATTTGTGGTTTTAAATGAAATTTACACCACAGACAGAAATTGAATGTTCAACATCGAAATGTTTACAACCATTATCTGATTAATAGAATGGAATCACCACATTAACAATCTATTGATGTTGTTATTATTAAAGTTTGTTTTATTTATCTAATGCCAACAGGGATAATTACTATACACATGATCATGTGATCTATACAGAGGTACAAATAAGCTGCGTATCTGCGTAAATTACGCAAATATGATATGAAAACTCAATTTCTATTCAGTCTATTGCGTACAAGTACGCTTGAATTTTTGTAAATACTCAATAAATGTGATCTTACATGCATACACACGAAAATGTCAAATCTTAGCTTGCATACCGGTGGGTAGATAAAATAACTGAAGTATACTGAGAGGTTCTATTTCAGGACATGAACTTGACAACTTGCAGTCTTTCTTATCGTTTCTCATATTATAAATCAAAATAAATAACAAACATAAAAATTTAAACGTTACTATATTTTCAAATTTAATGGAAAATGGCAAAATACCCAATTGAGTTTGAGTGGGGTGAGTACAATTTAATTGGTTACTCAAAGAAAAATTAGGATACGCAATTGAGATGAACACAGGTGAGTACATAACTCAATGACCCAAACAGTTATCTTGTAGCTCTGTCTATAATCAGAACACTCAGCTGAACTTATTTGTCTCTTGTTATTTCAGGTTGCAGTCATGTTGACCACTAATTAAGTGTCACTTAGATCTCTGGCTATTTTTAAAGATGGATCCATACGTGTCTACTCAGGTAATGCATAGAATGTTGTTGTTGACGATGATGTAGATGATAATGATGATGAAGTACATCCACCCACTGATCCATTCTCACAGTGTTGCATTTTAAGATAATGATTACTTGTAGAGGAGCTTGAAAAAGATGAATCATATTAAGCGAATCAGTAGATGATAGCAGAATGGCCATGGGGAACAGATCTCACTACGTAGGTGCATATTTTCAGAAACCAAAGAATCCAAGTTACTAGTTCGGTTCAGTTAAAAGTTGTTTGATTTCTGATATCATCGATGTACAGCCTAGATATCTAAAATCGCCGACAGTTTGCTAGCCGACAAAATTCCTACTATATTTCAGCGAGACTTTTCGGCCTACAATGTGTAACTGTGATTGTCAAAAACGCTATATATTTCATCAACAAAAGTGTTTAGAATTGACTATTTCTGGAGTAACATACACTCTGTTACTGTAACATTGCTAATGCATTGTTGATATGTTGCAGCCATCCATTGCAGGAGGCTATGGGTCTGAGTTTGAATCCGATGCTGAAGAAAAGAAGAGGAAGTAAGTTGATTAATATAGAGCTGTGTATATCCCGGTTTAAGCATGTGTAGTTTTGTCACCAGCACCTTAGGTTTATGTGGTAATATTTTGACATGTATATTCTATGCCAGAACAACATACCATACTAATTTTTATTCAATATATTTCAGTTGTTTTGGTGAAAGGACAGAAATTTTATATTACTGAAGTTTACAAGTTTGGAATGTTTACTTTTTGCCATTTGATGATACTATTAAGCTCTGAGGTAAAGTAACTGTCTCCGTGGTGTAGTGGTTAGAGCATCCAACCAGAGAGCGGAAGGTTGCAGGTTCGATCCCTGGCCATGTCATACCAAAAGACGTTAAAATATGGTACTTGTTGTTCCTTGCCTGGCCCTCGGCATTAATGGGTAAAACATGGACTGGTCGGCTCGGAGTCAGTATAATGTGTCTGAGTAGGGTATTCATGCTTAACTGTGGCATGGTATCTCAGTGAGCTAGCACTATAAAACCAGCTTAAGTCTGGGCTGGTACAAGCACCCACGCATACACACACATGCACATGGTCATATGAGCGAAGTACATCTTCTTAAGTTAAATCCCATTTCACCACACCCCACCTTGCCTCTGAGGTAAAGTGTGTGTTTCATGTAATTGAATGCCTCTTGTGGCTGTCCTGAAATGATTTTCAAACATTTTTTTAACATATGTTAAAAGAACTGTTGTGAGACTGACCATTTAACATGAGATGCATGTGTCAGGGTATTCGTGTAGCGGCCATAAAATGTCCGAGTCAAATACAGGGATTTGAACCAAGCACCTTCTGATCTGAAGTTGGACTCCTTTCCACATGACTAATAGAGTTAACCCCGTCAGCAAGCCGACAAGGTAAGGATGTCATCTGTGGGATGACTCCACGACCTGCTACATTCATACACTGAGTTTTTGTACCTCCTAGGAAGGACCTGGAGAATCTGCTGCCTCAGAAGAAGAGGGGAACTGGAGGAGTCGCCAAGAAGAGAGAACTTGAGGATGAATATAGCAAGTGAGTAACTTTGATGCAAGTATGTCATTAATATGCAGCAGGTTAGTAGCTGTGATGCAGCCAGTGAGTACCTGTTATGCAGCCAGTGAGTGGCAGTGATTCAAGCATTGAGTAGCCGTGATGCGGTCAGTGAGTGGCAGTGATTCAACCATTGAGTAGTCGTGATGCAGTCAGTGAGTTGCAGTGTTTCAACCATTGAGTAGTCGTGATGCAGTCAGTGAGTGGCAGTGATTCAACCATTGAGTACCTGTGATGCAGTCAGTGAGTTGCAGTGATTCAACCATTGAGTAGCTGTGATGCAGTCAGTGAGTGGCAGTGATTCAACCATTGAGTAGCCGTGATGCAGTCAGTGAGTGGCAGTGATTCAACCATTGAGTAGCTGTGATGCAGTCAGTGAGTGGCAGTGATTCAACCATTGAGTAGCCGTGATGCAGTCAGTGAGTGGCAGTGATTCAACCATTGAGTAGCTGTGATGCAGTCAGTGAGTGGCAGTGATTCAACCATTGAGCATGCAGTCGGTGATGCAGATTCAACCAGTGAGTGCAGCAGTGAGTGGCAGTGATTCAACCATTGAGTAGATGCTGTGATGCAGTCAGTGAGTGGCAGTGATTCAACCATTGAGTCAGTGAGTGGCAGTGATTCAACCATTGGTAGCCGTGATGCAGTCAGTGAGTGGCAGAGTGCTGTGATGCAGTCAGTGAGTGGCAGTGATTCAACCATTGAGTAGCTGTGATGCAGTCAGTGAGTGGCAGTGATTCAACCATTGAGTAGCTGTGATGCAGTCAGTGAGTGGCAGTGATTCAACCATTGAGTAGCTGTGATGCAGTCAGTGAGTGGCAGTGATTCAACCATTGAGTAGCTGTGATGCAGTCAGTGAGTGGCAGTGATTCAACCATTGAGTAGCTGTGATGCAGTCAGTGAGTGGCAGTGATTCAACCATTGAGTAGCTGTGATGCAGTCAGTGAGTGGCAGTGATTCAACCATTGAGTAGCCATTGCAGTGGCAGTGATTCAACCATTGAGTAGTGATGCAGTCAGTGGTGGCAGTGATTCAACCATTGAGTGATGCAGCAGTGAGTGGCAGTGATTCAACCATTGAGTAGTAGTGATGCAGTCAGTGAGTGGCAGTGATTCAACCATTGAGTAGCTGTGATGCAGTCAGTGAGTGGCAGTGATTCAACCATTGAGTAGCTGTGATGCAGTCAGTGAGTGGCAGTGATTCAACCATTGAGTAGCTGTGATGCAGTCAGTGAGTGGCAGTGATTCAACCATTGAGTAGCTGTGATGCAGTCAGTGAGTGGCAGTGATTCATTGAGTAGCTGTGATGCAGTCAGTGAGTGGCAGTGATTCAACCATTGAGTAGCTGTGATGCAGTCAGTGAGTGGCAGTGATTCAACCATTGAGTAGCTGTGATGCAGTCAGTGAGTGGCAGTGATTCAACCATTGAGTAGCTGTGATGCAGTCAGTGAGTGGCAGTGATTCAACCATTGAGTAGCTGTGATGCAGTCAGTGAGTGGCAGTGATTCAAGACATTTCCAGCTCAGATAATTTGGTACAAGTGTAACAAGTAGTGTTTGCACCCAGCGTTCGAAATAATCGCCGGCCCGGAGGCCCAGCGCTGGTTGTTATTGTATCGGGCCGGCAGTTTCAGATATCTGCAGGCCTTTGTGGCCTTCAGTAAATAATCTGTCAATTTTTTTTTTCAACTGGAATCTTTCCCATAATTTTTTTTCTTTATTAACATTCGGGAATCATCCATGATCCATCATGTTACGAATACCCGACAGTTTCACTTCCTGGTATTTCAGCACTTTGCCCATAGGAATGTCAACACCAGTCTTTAACAAGTAAATTAAAACCTTCTCTCTCCGCCATAAGCTTCGCTAATTGATTTTGTAGAAACCATGTGAAACTGTGTACAGTGTAGTCTATTTTGAATTTATTGGTTTGATTTTAACAAAAGGGCCTGCAGATTTTAAAGCCTGCAGGTGGCAGCAGGCCCTAATGGCCAACTGGCAAATTAAAGTATTGCAAACACTGTTTGCAATGGTATCTCCATTCCCTCGGAAACCAATCAACCAGTTAAGCTGAAACTTCACAAGCTGCTCTGCCAAGTAATGACATCTGAGTTTGTTCAAGTTCTTTTAATCCTATTTTGTGCTTACCTGCCTTGGTAGCCATTTTGAAAAACTTTAATGGCCAAATTTGCTGTACAGTTATCTATAAATGGGACCTTTGTGTTTTGACAGTGCTCTTAAATGCTCTTAAAATCACTGTAATGTTTTTTACCCTGAAAATAAGTTTCAGTTCGGAGTGTTTATGCAGAAAGTATTTTGGATATCAGTGTTGACATCAACTTTTAATTCCAATGTTGGTCTACTTTCTGCATATCCAGGTGATCCTCAGTGCCACTGCACTATTTTCATGACTGAATGACGAGGTATATTGTATCAGATAAAAACCAGGATGTGTTGTGTGTTTCAGAGAAGAAGGGAAGATCCAGCGCTTCCAGATTCTCAGTATGGATGCAGTATCCTTGAAGAGATGAGAAACGCAAGAATGTAGAGATGTCATTTGTGCAAGGATACCACTGTTAATGTTCCCTCATAACTTCCAAGATATGAGGGGCGGTGGGGTAGCCTAGTGGTTAAAGCGTTGGCTCGCCATGCCGAAGACCCAGGTTCAAATCCCCACATTGGTACATTGTGTGAAGCCCTATTTTCGTGTCCCCCGCTGTGATGTTGCTGGAATATTGCTAAAAAAGCGGCGTAAAACCAGTCAGTCAGTCCAAGATATGATCTGGTGTACCCAACCAGGATATTGCAGGACTGTTGCTAAAAGTGTGTGTCACTCACTCACACATGCACGCACGCACATTACCATACAGTTCCTTATTGCTCCTTACTTCTACTAACTGATATCTTGAGAGTAAAAGTACATCTAACCTTGGAATGACTTAGGTTAGTGGTGTTATTCCATGACAACATCATGGTATGGTCATTAATTACATCACCCAACCTTCAAATATTATTTTCTTTGTTGTTTTATCTGAATCAGCAATATTCCAGTTGTATGCAGTTTGTGCGCAGTAGATACTGGACCTCGACAGTCCAGTGGTTGACATCAAGAGCAACACAAATGTGATATAGTGACAGTGTCAAAGAGCATGACCACCTGATCTAGTCTGTCCTTGCAACAAACAGGTGGCTCTGGACCTATGTAGTAACGAAAATCCCCATATGCTACCTTCAAGTAAGTTTAATCCAATTTATGACAAATTAGGCTTCTGGTTACCACATGCAGTGTATCATCTTCCTTGACTTCACACAGTACGCCAGACATAGGAAGTACATCAATGACTACCTACTGTACTATGGAGGATCTAAAAAGGATTTCATACGGGACACGTGAGTTTCATTTATGATGTTACTACATTTGACGTCAGGCAGTAGAGGGCATTGGAGTTTGGACATCAGTGTCATCGGAACCTTCATTGGTTTCTGACATCATATAGTTCACTCATGATTCAACTGACAAAACCTTCAGGAATCGAGGAAAACAGCTTAATACTATGATCTTGGTGTATTTGCTGCTTGTCCTAAGTTGAGGTAACGGATCCATTTCAAAATATTACCAGTACAAATGGAATGAAGTGTTCAGACACCAAGATATGAATGTACTTTACTCAGATGTATGGGACAAAACAGTGTATGAAATAATCGGAAACCTAGGTGTAAATTTGCTGGAACGTCAGTCAAAATCTAGCCGCCTCTTGGCGGTCAGACCAGTCTTATTTCATACACTGATGTAAAAAGGATATTTACTTCAAGTATCTTAACTCTCTGGGAAGGAGTTGTGTTATATACTCTTACTACCCTTCTGTCATACATCTTTGGCCAAGGGAGAGAAACTGTGGGTGTGACTGACTGCAGTGTTCGAAATAGCCACTGGCCCGCTAGCCCGTGGCTAGTAAAAATTCAATCAGGCCAGTAAATCTCCACAGTCACTGGCCAGACTGGCTAGGGAATTTTCATAGGGTCAGTTTGTAAATATATCACTCTCTCCGACTTGTTAAGTTATAACACACTTTTAAATCATTGAAGATTATGGCCTAATAAAAATGTTCATCATATCAGCAGCTTAATGATGAAACCCGTGTCTTCATTCAAATTTCGGGCTTGTGAATTATTTTGCGGGCTAGTAACTTTCAGGCATAGCTAGCCTAAATGGCTAGCAAAATTTGGAAACTATTTCACACACTGATTGACTGTAGAACTGGCCAGTGGACATTATGACGTATTTGGTCAGAGTACAAAGCATTGAGTGTGGAATACACCTATAGATATTGCAATCAAAAGAAATAACTGATATTCATCAGACAGTTTCAGCTGTACAAAAGAGTAAGACTCCAGTCCTAGATAGGCTTATTAGCAGCAGATGTCAAGACAATAACACATTCTGTCACTTTTAACCTTTCAAATCTGTTTTTCTTCAGGTCTAGGGACAAGACTGATTTAGACGTTATTCGAGAGAATCATCAATTTCTATGGGATGAGGATGATGAAGATGACTCATGGTAAGACAGATTCCCAAAACTGAAGATCCTTGTTCTTCGTTGTCCATTCTTACTTGGCTGAAGCCAAGAATACCATATTTGCAGTACAAAGTGCTCTACTTCAATAACGTTAGAGAACAATCTGTAACCATCTGCATAAGCACCCCCTTCTGAGACCTAAAACTCATGTGACAGTAGGTAAGTTTTGTGTACACATTATGGATTATTTGCAGAAAACAGCAGAGTAGAAGGTAATAGAATGACTGATTAGAGACATTTATGACAACATTATTTAGACAACAGGTTCCTGTGGGCTGTCTTATTTATTGTATAGTCAGGACATGTTTGTATTTGCAGGGAGAAGAACCTGGCCAAAAAGTATTATGACAAGCTGTTCAAGGAGTATTGTATAGCTGACCTCAGTAGATACAAGGAGAATAAGGTAAAGGAAGATGGAAACAATGCCACAACCCTCCTTCGAAATTTCATCATGGAAAATAGTGTTTTAATTGATTATATCAGTGCTTGAGAAGCTCCATTCTCTTGATAGACAGAAAGTTTCTCATAGTGAATTTATAGTATATATTTTATTGCTTTTGCTTTCTGAGAATTTAAAGTTTGACTTGAAATTTGACAATAATCAGATCCTCACAGAGATAATATATGGATTTAGTACATATCAGGTCTCTTTTTCCCAGATCGGGATGAGATGGAGAGTTGAGAAGGAGGTGGTGGATGGCAAAGGTGAGACAACTCTGTTTAAAGCCCTCTGTCTAAGGATCTGACTGGCCAGAATACTATCAGAAAATACAATGAACACAACCATATTTATTATATTTTCCTGACCAATCCGTTTGGACTGAAAAGTTTTTAACTGTAACTGAATGAATCTATATTGATTTCATGTGTTTTTGTTTAAATTTATGTATGCAGTTGGACACAGTTATCTCCAGATCCAATATCCAGAATATACCGATTTTGCCAACCATGTTTTGTTGTTCCAGCCTCTCAGTAGTACTGGTATAAATGGCTGTGTATGCCTGGATGTTTGCAAAGTCACAGAATGGTGTGGCTCATTTGGCATGTTGAGACATATCTCTAGCACACTTTTCAGAAAGGAAGGATAACAATTTATGGACGTGTTTTTCAGTTTGATTCAGTCATTCTGTGCTTTGTAATTGATATTAACCACAAGTTACATTTGAGTATGATTTTGATTTTAGTTGAATAATCACACTTGATTGAATCTAAAATTGTAAAGTTGAAATGTAGATGTTAGCAGTTATCTCCCTTGATGTAGTTTGCTGCACACTGTAACTGACTGAAGTATCCCTAAAATATCAATAGTTTTTCCATTGAGGACAAAACGACTAGCCTGGTGACTCCAGTGGCGTAGAACATTCAATTCAAATTTGCTTGTATATTGATAAATACATAATCCACCCAAATAACATTATTGAGTTTAAATGATTGTTCATTCATCCATTTTGAATATAAAACTCTAACTGATCATAATGTATAGTGTAAAGTATAATTTCAGGGCAGTTTGTGTGTGGAAACAAGAAATGTAATGAGAGGGAAGGCCTGCGGAGCTGGGAGGTCAACTTTGGTTATGTGGAACACGGAGAGAAGAAGAAGGCCCTAGTCAAACTACGTCAGTCAATACAATGTTATTAGTTCAGAGTATTGCGTCAATTCATTTTTCATATGACCAGTGCTAACTAGTGGTGGTCCGATTAATTTAAATAATTGAAAATTGGTTGCATTAACAATATTTTTCACACGATTGGTTTTGTCAGTTACATTTCATGAGCACAACAAGCTCGTTCCAAGTCATGATTGAATTTATCTTATAGACCCCAAGAAATTTATGTTCTTTCCTTGTCATCCTTTAAAGTTGTGTAATTTGCACAAAGAAAACCCCAAATGAATATATGTTTTTGTGCAAACAAAAATAACCAGGAATATTTCATAAATGACGCTAACCAATTATTTTCGATGATTGATCGGTTGTAATGAACCAATCATCAATTATGAGATTTTAGCCAATTCCCAACATTAGTGCTAACCCACAAGCCCAACAAATGTACAACTTAAGTAACAAGAATCATTGATTTGAACATGTTTATATTTTTCAGGGTTGTGTCCTGATTGTTCTTACAAACTGAACTACCGTCACAGGTATGAGGACACCAACCACCTCTTTCTGTCTGTCACGTCTCTCACTGTTTTTACCAACCCTCTGGGGTGGGGTGGTGCTGAAAACATTTGCTCATCATGCGACCCGGTTTCCATTTTCTACATTGGTACAATATGTGTAGCCAGGGCTCCAGATAACTTTTGGGGGAGCGAGTGTACTTACACATCATATTGCAAGTGGAGGTGTACTGAGAATTTTGAAGGAGTACTGACATGTTTTTGTGTGAGCGAGTTGGTGATGTGGTTTGTCTGGACGATTCATCGATCACTATTTCCAACCATGTATTTGTATTTGAAGACGTGTGACAAATAACTGAGCGGCCGTGTGATGCGCGAAATGTCAGGTCCGACTGGATATAGGAACAGTGTAGTTTTTAGCCAATCGAAAAATAGCAACGCAAGTGATTCCTACTCTCGGGGTTTCCTCATGTGTCAAATCGTGTTTCGCAAAAGAAACTTGACAAGTATTTATCCGAAATTGATTTCCATTTGCACGATACGCATGGAAATTAAATGTTAGATGTACAAAGGTATTTATGTGCGTACACGATACGCTTGAAATCATATATTATGTCGTACTTAATTGATTTTGAGGCATACATTACGCCTGTACGCCCCTTATCTGTAGCCCTGTGTAGCCTATTTCTGGTGTCCCTCTTGATATTGTTTGAATATTGCTAAAAGCTGTATACAACCTAGCTCCCCACCCTCACTCACTCACACACACACACTCCCTCCCTCCTTCACTCACTCACAACTAACTTCTGAATTCATGGACATGCAGAAAGATTTTGGATCTGAACCTTTTACCTCAACCCTTGAAATTTGACACCTTTCATTTGAATCAAATATATTTCTTTTGATGTTGTTCAGGAGTGGCAGATTATCACAGTTGGTGAGGATATGAAGTGTTCATTAATTCAGATTATGTACTTCAATGATTTCAAACCTGTTGATATTCAAAGCATTGCTACAACGCTTTGGCTATTTAATATTGTCTTTATGTCTACAGAGCGAATGAGTAAATATCACAAAAATCAGTGGTGTGCATAATGCATCCTATACATTCCTTTTATGTAAAATTTATGGTAGGAAAACACACAAGGGTAATAATGTCTTTATCATATATCATTTTTAAATAAGTATATTTTAGAATTTGACTTTGTGAACTGCCTCATTTATCATATAGTGACAAATGTCTTTTTTCTGTGTTTGTGTATGCTAAAACTTTCACATATGTGAAGAACATAGAATATGTATACATACAGAAAGGCCTTTGTGCATGTTAACAGTGCACCTACATGTTTAGATTGAAAATATATTAGTTCCTTCACTGACATGATATGTAGAATATATTTTGATAAAAGTAATGATTTACATCCGTTCATACCTGAAATATATATATAGCTTGTCAGCATATCATCATTCTAATGTAACCATCTTTATCCTGGCTAATTTACATACACTCATCTGAAACCTACTGTTTTAGTTGTTAATATCTTTAAGTCGTGTAAGTCATCACCATGATGTTATTGCTAGTTCCCATCTCGTGCACATGGGATATGTGTGCCTTGCAGCTCTTATTGTAGTAACACAATGGGAAAATGTCTCTAGAAAACAGGGGGTGGTGGGGTAGCCTAGTGGTTAAGGTGTTCGCTCGTCATGCCGAAGACCAGGGTTCGAGTCCCCACATGGGTACAATGTGTGAAGCCCATTTCTGGTGTTCCCCCCGTGATATTGCTGGAATATGGCTTAAAACCATACTCACTCATTTCAGGGCTGAAAACAAATTTGAAATTATCACTTTATTCCATTTGGTTCAAATAACTGGAACATGACGCTTCTTTCATCCTTCAAAATTCACTCAGGTCCAGTTGTCTTGGACTGCTATTGTTCAGAGGACAAGTAACAATCCAGTAATGTCAGTGTTGACTGGTAGCATTTGAGGGCTGTAACTCCAAGTTTCAATACTTCCATTTGCTTCAAACTGGAACAGAATATACCTGACAGAAGATGTGTTAACATTTGTGACCTGTCCATGTGGGACCAGCAGCAAACTCTGAATAATGGTGTGTTTAGGTTAACACCTGTTCTATTGACTAGTCTATAAAAAAATAGTTTCTTAAGCTTTTGTGGTAGATCATGGTACATTTCTGTCATGCCTGTGTTTGTGTCAGCTCATCAATTTTTAACATAACAAATATGTTCTGTACATTTCCCAGGAAGAAGGAAGTTTTGCCCAGAAAGAAGAAAGAGAAGGGTGAGAGATCCAAGAAGAAACACAAGTCTGGTCACAGTTCATCATCAGGTAGTACATGCTTAACAACCTGTGAAGATCCGGGTTAGAATTGATCTTCAGTAACCCATGCTTGTCGTAAGAGGCGACTAACGGGATCGGGTGGTCAGGCTCGCTGACTTGGTTGACACATGTCATCATATCCTAATTGTGTAGATCGATGCACATAATGTTGATCACTGGATTGTCTGGTCCAGACTCGATTATTTACAGACTGCAATCATTTTGCTGGAATATTGAATATTGAGCAAAACTTAGTTTGCCTTGTCAAGTGGTGTTTGTGAAAAGATTTCTTTAATTCAGATGATGAAGCTGAAGAACAGGAGAGTGCATCAGTACCTGCAGCAGGAGACCCTGGTCAAGATGCTCAGAAGAAGGCTGAAAGTGAGAAATCGTCATGGGAGGGACCTGCTAAGATTGCTGAGGAAAAATCCAGGTAATACACAGGGACAATGCTGTAGTGTTTGATGAATACTGATATCCTGTATACCTAATATTTGCTTTTTTCTTACCTTCATGTGAAATACTTTAATTTCATTGGTGAATGACGCTTTAACAAGTTTCCATGTCCCCCCTCCCAGGAGGGTGACAACTGAAAAAATATTTCCTGCTGCCACGTTAACCGCTAAAGTCTCCGCTGAGAATCTTTATCGCTAACAATGGTATGACGTCATAATATGATGCATGCAGTGCACGGAGGTCAAAAACCGTTCGATTAACTGTTTTGCAGTTCATTATGCACACATTTATTTTACCGACTTTCACTGCTTATTTATACTATTTTATACATTTGCATCTTTGCACAATCAAATTAAACATAATTAACTATTTTTATAGCAGTTTTCAGAATATGTTGCACTGATTTTAAAAATCCAGTCAAGATGCAGACGCCATTTTGTTTACATGTCATCTTCAAAATAAAATAAAATGATATTTTGTACATTTAACATGGTGGTAAGATAAATATGTTAAAAATTTCACCCTCGGGTAATACAGTCTGATGTACGCCTTTTTCTAGCAGTGTCATCCCTCACCAACCGGCTTGGGTGACACTGCTACAAAAAGGCATACATCAAACTATATTACCCTTGAGAGAAGCATACAACTTATAGCTCTACATAACCTTTTTGATGTGGGCATGATAGGGTAGCCTTGTAGTGTAAGCATTCACACATCACGCTGAAGACCCGGGTTCGATTCCCCACATGTGTGAGGCCCATTTCTTGTGTTGCCCGCCATGATATTGCTTGAGTATTACTAAAAGCGGCGTAAAACTAAACTCACTCACACTCACACTCTTTAATGTGTTTAATGTTTCAGGGAAGAAGAATTTGATGACTATTTTGAGGATATGTTTTTGTGAAGTCACCAACTCAAGACACTGGAATGAGAGATGTGATCTTCGGAAAATGTGTGTCAAGTTTGAAGATGCTCATCTTGAGGCCTTTACATGGTTCTCTCGCTGATTGCTCTTAATGGTTGGCTGTATTGTGGGTTCATTCATCTACAGGCGTGTGACAAAACCTTGTATAGACTTGTATGAACTGGAGTATGCTGGATGGTATGTGAAGCTTGAACAGAAGGCATGAAAATACACATTAGTGATGCTTGTGACAAAACCTTGAAAGGACTTTGTGGCAGTTGAACAGAAGGCATGACAACACACATAAGTGATGCTTGTGACAAAACCGTGAAAGGACTTTGTGGCAGCTGAACAGAAGGCATGACAATACACATAAGGGAAGTGTGGCGAAAATCATACTTTAAATGCATTATGGTTAGGTTCAAGGTTAAGCTTTTTATTAAAAATAGATCTATTCTTAAGCATAGAATGATTAAAAAAACAGGTTACAGGTGGAAATCTTTCCTACTTACGTGCAATGCAGAGATTCGAAACATTTTTGTCAGCAATGTGTGGCAGTGTGTGTACATCAAACGTACCACCTTGTGACGTCATATGGGACTTAATTTACGAGATTGCATGATAATTACCGCGATCCACGAATCAGAGTTATCCACAAATTTAGGTTACGGTTCTGTAAATGATGCTTGTGACAGAACCTTGTACAGTTGACTGGTGCTGAAGGATAAAAGTCTCTGACACTGGTGCTGAAGGATCAAAGTCTCTGACACTGGTGCTGAAGGATCAAAGTCTCTGACACTGGTGCTGAAGGAGCAAAGTCTCTGACACTGGACTGCTTTTCCTTCCTTACTGACTGGTATGTTTTTTGAGGAAATGACTAATTGTTTGCTGGTGTGCTGAGCAATACCAGCGGTGGACCATACTGCAACACCTCCTGTTAACTCAGGACTGGTCAGCTCGGAGTCAGTATAATGTGTCTGAGTGGGGTATTCATGCTTCACTGAGGCATGGTATCTCAGTGGGCTAGCACTATAAAACCAGCTTAAGTCTGGGCTAGTACAAGCAGCCGCACATACACATACACACACATGCACGTCGCCATATGAGCGAAATATTCTCAAGCACGACGTTAAACCCAATTTCACCTCACCTCACCTCACCTTCAAGATGTCATGATTACAAAAGATAAAATGAAAAGTTGTTGCAGGAATTGTCATGAATGCATGTGCTTCTCAGAACTTTTGTGAATCCAATATTAGCCATGGTAGCCTGACTTAAAGTACTGTTTGCTACCAAATTGTTCACAGCTGTCTTGAATGTATGTTTATGTGGATGCACTCTGAGTTTGTGGATGGGTTTAATAGGTATTTTAATCACTTATATGTGTTTGCCACCATTTTGTAAATTTATCATTTCTTTTTCTTATTTTAATATGTTTGAAAAGTCTTTCCATCAGAAGCATTAAGAGGCAGAAAGAGAGGAGGCAGTTTGTTAATTCCAATGATTAGCACTCGAAATTATAAGAGGTCTCAAGGGAGGCAAATAGTTATCTTTAGTGAGTTTAACAGTCATTAGCTTCAAAAGGGGCAGATTATCAAGTGCCTTGTATGTGACTGTGTATGTGTTACACCCAATATGTGCAACTGCCCATTGCTTGCATGCATGGGAAAACAATCAGCTGTTCATTGGCAATAGTTATGAATGCAAAATAGTTCTCCAAATTTGACAATATTGGCATGTGAATGAACTCTTTTCTTAATTTACTTGTACTTTTGGGGATAGGCAATAGCTACATGCGATAGATACATCATCACAATCAAGGTTTGTTCCAAGACACCAGCTGCAGTTTTCAGTAAAGGATTTGAGTAAAGGTGCACATTAAATACAACAAAAGCAAAACCGATTTTATGGTTTCAAAATTAAAAAGTTCTTTTTATCTCTCTTCTGATTTGAATATCATTCCTGACATGAGTCATTCTAAGTGGAATGTGAAACTTGAACAGATGACATTACAAAACAGTCGAATAATCTTATTACACTGTCATTGGTGGTATGTGAACCTTGAACAGATGGCATTGCAGTACAGTTGAACGATCTTATTACACTGTCATTGGTGGTATGTGAACCTTGAACAGATGGCATTACAACACACATTGATATTGGTATTATACTGCCATTGGTGGTATGTGAAACGTGAACAGATGGCATTAAAATACACATGAATATTGGTATTAGAATGTCATTGATTGTATGTGAATTTGAACAGATGACATTACAAAACAGCTGAACAATCTTATTACACTGTCATTGCAGGCATGTGCAACTTGAAAAGTTACAAATCACTTGAATAATGGTATTATTGATGGAATGTGAAAATTGAAAGTTGGAGAGGATATTGTGTTAAGAAGCTGAATAAGGAAATATGTTGAATAACTGCATTAGAATCCACAAGGCATCAGAAACGGAACCTATGTATTGTATAAACATGTACGACTATATCTTTATGGAATCACCAACTTTTTGTTGGGCTTCCGTGTATTTTCCCCGAGGGACATTGGTCACTCAACTCCACTTGTATCTCTTATTGCTTCAAGTATGGAACTGGAGACCAATTATACCGGAACATTGCCGCGGGTAATAATTGGAATCGGCATCTGTGTTTGGTCTGAACTCTTCCAAACATAGGAGTACGTCCGCACTTTGTGCCTGGGGTCCAGATGGTGGTCATTGAATAAAATTCTCATTCTGATACCTGACTTTGTCCTTTCATAAGGTACCCGTGAAGATATGGGTTAGAATTGATCTTCAGTAACCCATGCTTGTTCTAAGAGGCGACTAACGGGATCGGGTGGTCAGGCTCGCTGACTTGGTTGACACATGTCATCGTATCCCAATTGCGTAGATCGATGCTCATGCGGTTGATCACTGGAATATCTGGTCCAGACTCGATTATTTACAGACCGCCGCCATATAGTTGGAATATTGGTGAGTGCGGCGTTAAACTAAACTCACTCACTCGTTCCTCTGATAAGGTAATAATTTATTGTGTATGTGACAATCCTTTGAAATAATCCATATAGAGGTACAGATAAGCTGCATATCTGCGTAAATTACGCAAATATTTATGTGAAAACTCAATTCCTATTAAGGCTATTGCCTACAAGTACGCTTGAATTTTTGTAATACTCAATAAATGTGAGCTTACATGCGTACTCCCAAAAATGTCAAATTTTCACTTGCACCGGTGGATAAATAAAATAACAGGTATATTGAGAGATTCCATTTCAGGACATGAACTTGGCAACTTGCAGTCTCTCTTATCGTTTCTCATATTACAGATAAAATATAAACAACAAACACTAACATTTAAATTTTATTGTATTTTTAAAATTAACGGAAAATGGCAAAATACCCAATTGATTTTGATTGAGGCGGGTACAATTTATTTGGTTACTCAAAGGAAAATAAGGATACCCAATTGAGATGAACACAAGCGAGTACATAACTCAATGACCCAACACGTTATCTGTAGCTCTGTCTATAAGAAGAACACTCAGCTGAACTTCTTTGTCTCTTGTTATTTCAGGTTGCAGTCATGTTGACCACTAATTAAGTGTCACTTAGATCTCAGGCTATTTTTAAAGATGGATCCATATGTGTCTACTCAGGTAATGCATAGAATGTTGTTGTTCCATAGATCGGAAATTGACACATAGGAAACAGGTATTTGGACCTTTCTCTGGTTTTGGAACGGAGACAGTGGTTTTACGTGTCAAGGTTTTAGGCATAGCCCTAGATGTCCAGCAAATATTTAGTAGATCTTGGATAATTTTCATAGAATCGGGACGATGCATCTCATAACATAGCTCATCTCCTTCAGATTAGGAATTGTCGTGTTTTCAATATGGCATCCGTTGATTTCATGGTTATCGTATGGGAGTGGAGTCATATGAGTTAAAAATGTCGGAGATGTCCGGTGTAAAAGTGGTTCCATAAAATTCACCAAGGAAGTTATCAGATATAACTGTTTTCACGTATTCAAGTACACGTGGTATCTTAGCCTTCTGAAAATTGGTCACTATACCGCCGTCAATGTCTAAAACATTAATATGATGTGAGCATTATTGCTACTTTTGATTGTTGACTAGGCAGAATATAAAGGAGACAAATCTATTTATACTTGAAACATAGTTATGTCAGCAAGAGCGTTTGGACGCTGGAACGGCATGATGAAACTAGGCAAGTTTCTTTCTCACCACCAGATCACACGGAAGTGAAGAGCGACTTCCTAGACTTGTTTGTTTCTCACTTTTTTAGTCTTCACTTTGATGATGAAAGTAGATAGTTTCCCTGAAATTTTTCTTTTGCTGTAGAAGCATGGATATTTCAATAAGTTTGTGAAGTAGGGATATGTAAAACGTGAAGATTTTTTAACATCAATGCCTTTTAGAAAGTGCTCAAATATGTAACATCTGTTACTCGTTACCATTTCTCAGTACAGTTTCTAGTTCCTTTTGGGGTTGAGTCTATCCAGGAGTCGAACCCACTCTCTCAGAGTTAAGCACCTAAACGCCAGCACACAAGGTCAATGACTCACCCAACCCACCGCGGCTTCCGCAAAAATGGAAATCTGTCAACTGGAAGTCCAGATCACGTTTTTCGTGCAGCTCTCTAAAGAGTGTAAATTGGCTCCTTCAAATAATATTTCAAGATTACTAGTATCTGTAAAGTTGCCGACTTTGGCTTAAAACGGCAATCACTCACGCTTATCATTGTTGAGAATGGAGCTGCTTATGTTTAAAACCTCAATGCAAAAGTAAGTGAACATTACATAACGCTGCATCAGCTATTTTTGTCTATCATCAGAAACAGATTCCATTTGGCGAAATGAGTAAAACTGCTGTGGGAATTATATGAATGGAGCACTTAAAATTAGTGAGCTCACTTGGGGTTTCGCGAAAAGGGCAAGCTTGTCCTGCCCTACGGGTAACATCCACTGCTTCATGAAAACTCCTATAAACATGACAAATAGCAACATAGTCAGTGGGTCTTGTTGCTCCCTTCTGTAATTCCATCACTGTGACCCTTACATGTACGTTTTTAGCCGCAATTGCGCTAAACAATACTTTCTAGCCATTGACGCATTCTTGTCACAAATGGCGACTAACGGGATGTGTGATCAGGCTCGCTGACTTGGTTGACACATGTCGTCGTACCCCAGTTGCGTAGATCAATGCTAATGCTAATGCCAATGCTAATGCTGGATTGTCTGGTCCAGATTTGATTATTTATGGACCGCCGCCATACAGCTGGGATATGGGATATTGCTGAGTGCGGCGTTTTGCAACAAACAAACTTGCAATTGAGGTACTCTTTCGTCTTACATGCCGAATAGTGGGTCGTAAATGTCTCTAATATACCACCCATTACGAGAATCGTTTTCTTGCAATGTGCATATATGGTTGACCACAACGTAAAACGACCCGTGAAGATCCAGGTTAGAATTGGTCTTCAGCAACTCTTGCTTGTCGTAAGAGGCGTCTAACGGGATCGGCTTGTCAGGCTCGCTGACTTGGTTGACCCACATGTCATCGTATCCCAATTGTGTAGATCGAACACAACGTGAAATACTAAATCACCTTGCTGGTTCAGTGGGCATCTGACCCCACTGGTCAAACCCAGCTCCCCAATGGTCAAACCCAGCTCCCCAATGGTCAAACCAAGCTCCCCAATGGTCAAACCAAGCTGTCAAATATTTTCCAACTCCCCTGACAACGCAGATGATGTCTTCATGAGTACCAGTAATCTTACGATGGTAAGTCAGAAAGATGACAAACGCATGGCTTTGAGAATCACTTTGCTTTAATAGAACAAATGAGTCAACAAGAAATGTATGAAACTGGAAACGAATGTCTGAGATAGTGTGTACGACTATTGATGTTACCAATATCACTTCCAACATTTGAACTCTCTGACTTCATATAAACACGGTTCTAATTGCAGACTCGATCCGATAAGCTGACTTTCATATTAAGGTAAAATATGTTGTCTTAACTTTTATAAACGGAGGTATGTATTTCAGTGTTATCAAAACAAATTTTGTATTGGACATGGAATGACTTCTTATGCTGAAACAGACAGGAAGAACCAAACGTTATATATATTATAGACAAACTTTATGAATGACAACTTCTTTATTTCTAAAGTTTGTCTACGTTGTACTTCCCAACGTCTTAAATGCTATTTATTTATATTTACGACATTTATTGAATCGGCGATACCTTATTATAGATTTTACAGCTTTATCCCCAACAGACGCTTCCAATAATAACAAAATGAATAATAGCAGAACTTCAGACTGTGAGCATAACATACTTTTATACTGTGTGAATCCAATGTGAATACTTTGTGTCAAAAAGGGAGCACGAATGATATTTGGTGTTAGGTATGAGAAAAAAACGTTTAATTCATGTACAAACACATGAGAAACATAAATATTGCATATGTACACGTAATATCACAAAGTACAGATATATTTACACTGTGTTTTTGACAAATGAGAACACACGATTACAGTGGCTACGTGCAGGTCTTTCAAGTGAGTATCATTGAAACACGTTATTCGTCATCACAACCGCGTGGGTTGTATCTCCATTTGCAAGCAAAAATACATTTTACATGTGCAATCCAAACGAAAGATATTGATCCTTCAGAAATTAAATTAATTAAATTACCTTTTAAACAAGATTGATTATGTTATTTAAGTAATGGTAACGCGTACTATAACGCAGCACTGCGATGAGGAAGGTAGACGTTATAGAAATTACCAGCAAACCCGGAAGTGTTACTGCATTAAGTGAAGATTCATGATGCCCCTATTAATTAGCACTTACATGATTCAAATTATACCTTAATACCCAAGGATTGATAATCATCTCACACAAAACTATCATCATATTGGAATAAAAACACACATAATATACGTATAGTTCAGTTTGATTCCGTTAAAACTTACGTCATCAATATCCATATTCTATTAATAAATTACTAGGATAAATATATATATATATATATATATATATATTATGATAATGACATCCTATTGTCAACCTCACGTTGTGCAGGAACAAGCACATTGTCATTCTGTTGATTGTCAGTCACAATTATTCGAAATAATTGTTTCAAATTAATGCCTTTGTCAACTTTTTCTACTAACATGCCCTTAACAGGTAAATGACTTCATGTAACGAGTTCTACTGTTGGTATTAATACGATGCTACTGTTGTGACGATGTGCTACAAAGTGATATGTTAATGATAGGGTTTGGTTTAAAGATGCTTTGTTCGGTAGTAACAAGAACGAATGGTAAACAATACATATAAATAATGAAACCGTATACATCGCATGATACGGTTTCGTAATTCGACAGAGATTGAGGTATATTCAACAAACTGTTCAATAGTGTAACATCTTGTGAGACACATACAAAAGGTTAACATTGGTGTATTGATGCATCCTGTCCTACAACATGAAAAACACGTCTTAAGAAAGCTTAGGATCTTGGTGTATTATGCCATATTGCTGAATCATCTCTATTTCATTTGTGGAACATTCAAAACACTTCGGCATATCCTCATAAATACAAGGTTTATACTTGAGATTCAATCTGACTTTAAGGTAGAGTGGGGCAAGAGTAGTAATGACTGATACCACTCGTGTCCTCGATGAAACGAAGCAGAAATGCTTGATTTGATGTCTACATTTTAGAAAAGCGTGTTACATGTATGGACAACGGGAACTGCCGATGTGTTCCGAATGACACAATCCACATGTCCGCGATAATATCTGACAAGACTTATCACAGTGTGCTTCTGACTCTGACGACACATTCTGACACATTTAATGGAAATTACAGGGGAAATTCAGTGTAAACATGCAATATCACAGATGTGGCCTCAAAGGTATTGAAATCGACCTGTCTAATTTGACAATAACAGCGATAACTAAATGGTTCCCGTCGTACCAGATATTTTTATCATTTACATCATGCATGAAATCTTCCAACATTTGGATCACGTCGGCAGTGTTTGAAATTAAATACCACGCTCATGTTACACATAACTCTTTAGAGCATTTTAAACCACCAAAGCAAGAATGATACAATGTAACAAACGTAACCACAAAAGTACCACAGGCGTGCCAACTGGCCCAGAGTGCTCACGATTATGAGATGCAAATTTCCAGCACTTTCAGCTATATTCACATTATCAATTGTTAAACTTGTTCAAATTTCTTCAACTACACAGATCCAGGTTTCAAAATAGATTACGTATTATATTGATCCTATGAACGGTACAGATTTGAAAAATCTTAAGAATTGCGAGTTGTTAAACCTTTAAATAACAAATGACGTACCTTAGCATAAACAGACTTATTTCAGAACTTTTGGTATACTTTCCCAACTATGAAGGGGAATCTGAACTATAAACCTGAATGTGAAGACATATGCGTTTCTACTATGACCACTGTGGAAGAAGTAACGGATCTTCTGGGATAACAGTGAACAAGAATGTGAAGATATCAATGATTCGTATCTTTTAGGACAACCATGATCAAAAGTATGAAGAAACAGAAGTTTGTTTCGAATCTACGTGGACGAAAGTGAACCAGATAATGATATACTTTGATAAATTTGAGTGTTCACTGAGCAATTTCAAGGAATCAACACCACCAAAATCAATGAAACTTATTGTTTAAATCGTTCACTGATGGCAATACGTTCTATGAAACACATACTGCCAATAAGCCCTGTTACTTTTATTCTGGTCAGTCAAATAAGACTGACTGACTGACTGAATTTAGTTTTAAGCCGCTTTAAGCAATATTCCAGCAACATCACGGTGGGGTACACCAGAAATTGGCTTCACACATTGTACCCATGTGGGGATTCGAACCCGGGTCTTCGGCGTGACGAGCCAACGCTTTAACCACTAGGCTACCCCACCACCCCAGTCAAATAAGAAAGAATGATAATGTATGTAACATAATATGGAAAGTAGAATCGAGAGGCCATCCATGTCCAGAAGATCCGTCCATTAATAATATCTTCGTGGTCCGTGAAAACTATATAGTCACTGTGCCATTTAACATCAATAACCAACAGATCCATTGGATCAGTTGACATCTATGACAGTTTACACCAAGCGTCATCAGATCCACAACCTCAGTCAACATCCTCAACCCAAGTCAACACCAAGTGTCAACACATCCATGTTGTCAGTCAACATCTGGGAAAACATATCCACGTCATCAGCTCAAGGTCCAACAGAACCATAACATCATTCAAACGTCCATTATGCCCATGACAAGAGACATGAGGCCCACAAGGTACATCATATCCATTCAATACCCAGGACACATATCTATGTTTCTGTCACCAACAACATCCACAACAATAAGGGCACGTCTCAATTTCATTCAGCTACAAGGTCAATTAGATCCACATGGTCAGTCAACACCAAGTGCAAACAGATCCCTTAGATAACTCAGCTCTTCACTGGGTCCATATAATCGCCCTTGTATCCATCGGGGTCCTACGTTTTAATCAATTACGTCTTCTACGTAGAGCAATGATCACAGCCTTGTATTGCCTTCGTCCATTGCCATCTTCTTTCAGATGCATCTGGTAGTTCTAGTTTGGCACTGAGAAAGTTGCAAGTAAAGGTGCATAAGGTCGTTTCAGCTCATGACACAGAAGCCACTCCTTTGCTTTTTACTTTTGCTGTGTTTGGGTGAGAAGTCTGAGTCACACACTGAATCTTGTTTGATGGCTTTCCGTGCAGGTGATGTTGGTTGATACTTACTTTGAGGTGCTTTATGAACGGATCTACTACTTGCTGGAGGACTCTGTAGGCAGATGAAAATGGACAATATGGAATATATGACAATAAATAGAAATGTGCGTCTAAGCCATTACATAACCTATTGGCGTCCGAGATTGACCAACGTTAAACAAGGTAAATGGTATCAAACGCTGACAGATTTAGGAAATGTATAACACTCAATAACACAAATACAGTCCTTCATGGCATGTCTTTCTTAACACTTCTTAGCCCGTTCAAAGTAGTAGACGAGACATATAAACGACTCATATAATATCAGGTAATCTGAATATACAAAGCTCCCAAAAGTCCATCCATCTACGGGTACGTACTTGTTTCTTCATGAATTCAGAATGTGTTACATGTTATCAGAACACGCCCCTGCGATAAGAATTTCAATGGTACCTTTCACCTCAAACAATGAAATTTATCATATAAATAGAACATAAATGTAAAGTAAGTATATACATTTATGTGAGAGAACAATGACAACACAGACGTTGGTGCATTTTTTTGAATACATTATACAACATTCAGATAAACGTAATAACATGGATATTTCGGTGGAACATCTATACATGCAGAGCATATTTTCCGAAGTAATCATTTCCAAAATACACCTTCTATGGTGTCGGGTGGACACATATTTTGATGTTTGCCTGAAAAGGTTGAATTTGTAATATTTGTAAATAGACAGTTATGTTAACTTGGCAATGTTAACTTTCCGTTGCAGTCAAAATTACACGAACTCTTTCATCGTAAAAGCTTGTTCAAAATACTTCTTAAAAATGTTCCACTGCATAGTCATTATTAATGACAGTCCCCTAAGAAATGCCTGTACACTAAACGGTTATATGTCATCTACCGTTGAAATAGTTGCTTGTTTCCTCCACTATAGTAATCTTAACCTACATCTTGAGGGGTAAACAAGTAATCTACCGACACCTTTTTGACAGGTGATGACGCTCTCTTCACGTCTTGGTTTCTACAGGAATGAAACAGTGCATTTCTGCACATGAACCACTATTTGTCAAATTCATTCTCCTAGAACGAATTTTAAGCATATGTCACAACGGAATGGCATTTCATCATTATATGGAGATTTTTCAATTCATAATTTGTAACTAGTATTACAACCATTCCATTAATATACACTTTCAACATTTCGTTACCAATGTTACCTGGGATCCATTGTGTGCAGACTGTGCAGTGTGAGACGAAGCGCCATTTTGTTTTTGTGAAGCGAGTGTGACTGAATCAGTGTCACGTGACTTGCTAGCTACATGATCATTGGACAAAGGCTGTGGAGAGGGTTGTGGTGACGAACTTAGAATTTCTTTGTTACTGTCCGTTTTACTTCCGGTTTCCGGTTTAGGAGTGTCGGAGGCTGTTTCAAGAAAATAGGCACCATGTTAGCATGTCCATATTAATGGGCAGGGAACCAATAGTTTATATGGAACCAATAGTTTATATGCTATTAATATATAAGCAAACGTTATATGGATTATTTCGATCAGATCAGAATTGTCCAGAGGCTTCTCTTAAAATGTTGATTGATTGCTTGTATTTTTAGAGAGAATGTACATAATATGATACAATTTATTTTTACGAGAGTATCATGTATTGATAATTCAGATATTTACAGTTTATTTTTAAAATGAATGATGTGATTGACATGATTTCAGAAAAGAACACACGACACTGAGAAGTATTAGTAATAGAAATCTATTCAGCTACTGATGACTCCTTCCACTCTACCCAAGGACAACGCGCTGTATTTTTTAAGATGAACCATTTCAAGTAATTTAACCGTGAAAAACTTAAATGTGTATGCCAATCGTATTTCACATCTTTCTGGTATTTGCCAATGTTACCTCAACCAAGATCCAGTAAAGTTAAACTGTGGGGGATAATGGTTATCTGATGATCGGCATTGTGGAAGGAGTCTATAATATATTTGAGAGCCGAGCGATGGTGACAATTAAGACCCGGATACGGAACAGATGAAGCCAAGATGAATGCTCTTTGTTTCAGTGCATACAATGTGTTATAAAGCAGAAATGAAATGATAAATTCAGGATCGTTATTTACTTGAACTGAATAAATGTGAACAGTTGTGAAAAAATCAAGCATCCCCGAATATTACATGGCCCAGCTTAAGAGACATTCTGTCAATCACTGAGGGTCATTTGAAGGCGGACAATCCTGCATCATTTGTTATCGCACACATACCCCCACCAACAGCCAATGAGGGTAAAAAGAAACGGGGTGGGTAATAACGCTAAATGCTGCTATAGGTTCAGGGAGGGGAGGAGGGCACGAGGAAGCTATTCATCTTACAAAAATACATATGTAAATCATTTTATAAGGAAACTGACTTGCTTAACTGAATCTGTTGAAAGTGTTTACTGAGCATTCATGTCACTGCACTGCTTCCAAAACATGTCCTATGATATGGTCTCAGATACATCTATCGAACTCCAGTTAATGATCTTCTGAAGACATTACCGAACTCTTCATAATGTTGAAATTTCAATTAATATTATGCGATTGGTGTTACTCACCAATGACTTTTGTATCAAATATTATGGCCCATGAATACCACTGAATACTTCTTGAATACACAAGAATAGTACCGACAGGACTCAGTTAATGATGGCACATGCCTTCTTACAGTTAGGTTTGCTTCAGTGATGAAGTCAGTTCAGTATTGAATATCGGGCGTAAACCATGCGTGATGGTGCCGTGGGTGCCTTGAATGGTGTGGACCAAGTGATCATACTTTCATGCAAGAAGGCCAATTACCTTATGTGTTTATACTTCCTGAATGTTTAGAATTCACTATAAAGCTAGACACATGCATAGGCATACAAGAAAAACATCAATTTGAATTCCAGTTTTCGCTGTTCTATTTGCTACAACAACTCCAAGAAATTGTACCATACTGGGTGGGACAGGGGTGGATGGGGCATATCATGCGAAAGGTTAACAAGTTGCTAGCAGTTGTTAGGGTTAACATGTTAACAGGAATGAGGTCGTTAGACAGGACAAGATCAAACGTGAACAAGGGAGACCGCAGACAGAGGTCACCAAGACTTGAGGTCACCAGGACCTCAGATGCACCTGTCGTGGATGATGACTCCTTACACTTTTCTGTATCTATGTTATCAGCCAATTGCTGCCAGTTTGTCCTATTGCTTTGACATCCATTATACAATGGGTCCAATTTGTCAGTCATCGAGGCAAACAGCTGTCAAATAGGTACCAAAATCATCCGTCAGTGATACGGCAATTGTCATGCAGACAACATACACGTGAAGAGCAGTACTACCCTCACTGAAATTATGAATTTAATTAATAAAATGAAATTATCCTAAAGTGCAGAGAACAAGAAACTTCAGAATAATTTAGATTTTCCACATTTAATTGTAAAAAGGTATATTTATCATGTGATTTTTTTCAAATAATTTCAATACAATTTTAGTCAGAAATCCTCTCCGATCAAGGATTCTGATCCACAAAACGTTCGTAACATTACGACCTGTCGTAAATCTATAGTTTATTATAGGCTTACGAATGTCGTAGCGCTACGACCGTTTCGCGGATCGGGACCCAGGCCTAGTTTTGAAGTGGAACGATCTGACAGTTTTCTTGCTCGGTTTTAGTATCTGTGCCAAATAACAGCGTACCAAAGCATCTTTTAGAAATATTGTCAATCGATGGTGTTGACAAACATTTTACACACACAGTCATAAGCTATGCGCTAAAGAATGACATTACGTTATAAACATTGAGTGCAAGGTGAGTGTTACGATAGAAATCGGAATTATCATATCACAAAAGTATCACTGTCTGTAGTACTGCTCTTCACCAAACTCTAAATATATAATTGCAAGAAATGCTCTGTGATCACAAGACATATCTATTGTTTATAGTCATATATGAATATGTTTCTGTAAAATAAATATATAATCCATGCATCTTCAAAGTTCATATATACAATGGACATTATGTATATATTATTGTCCTATAATTCGTCATGTGTGTGACACGTTGCTGGATATATATTTACAACAACGATCCCCCGCATTGCTTCAGTCTAATGTATAGAGGAAGAGGAGTTAAGAGGGATGCTTTTAGGCATCAATTTAGAGATCAACGCAAACGTCAGTGTAGATCCTTTCCTGCTTTTCCTGTACCACAACCAGTCAAACAAATAGTGGTAGTGTTGCATTAGAAAACTACCATTACAGGTTATCTCATGCATTTCTCTTCGTAATGAACAACTGTGATATCGACACGCTTTTAATATCCTTCAACACACCTTCAAAAAAGGTTCATGATGTGGTTAAAATCTAATAAAGAAATCCTTAATAACCACGAGGATATTTCGTAACGTTTTCAATCACTTTTTATGCATCATACTTTTAAGTCTAATTGATTTCATCTCACAATGGGCATCTTTGGTTTTTCGATGAGATGACGTTTTTGCATTGTAATTAAAGACGTCAAAAAAAGTTCTTTCAGGACGCACGAAACATCACGAAGAATATAATCAGTCATTAATACAATTCCCAAAACATGTTTATTTCACACGAGCGGATCAATTACTTCTTTTAAACACTTTTATCTCCTGGGGAAATGAGAAAATGGAGTAACATACTAATCAAACCGCATTTGAAATATAACAACCTTCATCTCCCAAGAAACTGACAAAATGTGTCATACGAATCAAACGGCATCTCAAATACAGCAAACTTCATCTACCGAGAAAGTGACAAAATGTGGTATTATACGATTCAAAAGGCATTTCAAATAACGAAAACCTTCATCTCCCGAAAAACTGACAAAGTGTAGTATCATACGAATCAAAAGGCACTAAGTACGCAGCACTAACATGAATAGTTCCTCTATACACGAAAGTGAAGCCATGCAAGTGTTGCTTCTACTATTGCACGACAACCAGGCACACGAAATAAGAAGTGTAGAATATATCGCTGTGCCGCACTTAACCACAGCTCTGGCTTGTCTTCGGCTCTGACATCTGATGCCAATTGTCTCTGTTACTCTGAACACCCTGCAGTAAGGGCTCGAGACGGGTCCATTTGTCAGCGAACATCTTAAATGATATCGTTACCGATAGACCTTCATTCGAGACCACGAATGCTCTCATAATGGCGTCCCTGTACCAACTCTTAATTGATCCAGTTCATGTACAGCCATTTGACTGAGGTACATCATACAGACACGTAAACTCGCAAGAACATTGTATATGTACAATGACTTCATAGGAAACTATGGCAGTCATATTAACACATAGATTACATGTTGAACCTTTGACATTAAGTGACCAAGCATCCTGATATTACAATGGCGTCTATCGCAAAGAATATTGGACGTATTTCAATATTGCCGTTTTTTTTGTCTATAGAATTCCTTTGATATCCCATTGACACCTGCGAGGGTTGTTCGATTTTGTTTTCATATTGGGATTCTGTAAAACTTTTGATGATTGAAGTTTTCATTTAGTGTAATATGCTTAAAGGAAAATTCGAAAATAGAAGTCATTACGAAAGGGTATAAATGTGACACTAGCTTGATATCAATATTATTGTTTATCACATGTTATTACAAAAGAGAGCAACATGTAACCCAAAGCGTATGGAAACTTTGCAAATGATGGCCATTTTCCCCATTTATAATCTCTGTTTAGCGATTGGTGTTTTCAGCCTTGTTTTAATCTCCGCAAGAATGCCAGAGTTTGGAGATCCGTTATTCGCATTGAAGGCCTTCGCAAATTGATATGTAGTTTACAAAGTCGTGAAACAGACAGATTATACAGTCATTATATACTCAGTTCAAATGACGTTAGTATTTTTCCTGTCAAATCTTTGGGAATAACATACAATATGTCACATATATATATATAGTCACCAAGAAATCTAGGTATGTCGTAACATATGGACAATGAATCTGGTTTTATGCCGTCTTAAGAAAGTATTCCAGCAATATTACGGCTCGGAAAACTGGCAATTATTCCATATTGAGAATATGTCAGGTGTGGAACCTAGGTCTTCCGCCATACCAGTGGACGCTTGAACACGTCCTAGCTAGGCTTGACTATATACCAGTGTACATATAATGATGATTGTCCATGAGCAGCTCGTTAGGTTTTAGACATATATTGCTGCTTACGTATTCATGCAGAATAAAACAGAAGCTTATTCACCTTGTAGACTGGCATACATATTGCATCAATGAAGCCGACCTGCATCTTTGGGAGCTCATCCTTCTTGTCCCGATCCATCATTGGCTGAAACAGAATCAATACAAATGAGAATGTGAATACGATTAGTTTGCTTGTGCGTGCGTGCGCATACGTGTGTGTGCGTGCATGCGTGTGCGTATGTCTATTTTAGTTTCCAAAGCGTGTCCGTCATATAATGAAGCGCGTTGCCAGAACCCTCTTTAAACATGTTTGTACTAAATCGCTATGTAAAACATGTAACATGTGTTAACAAACCAATAAATATATAAGTATACTACCCATCAAAAGTTTAGACTCACTCGTGTAAATGTAGCCACTTACCTCAGTCAGCTGTTCTAAACTAGATTTTGCAAAATATTCCATTCTGTTTAAAGGTACTGTTTAGACATGAACTGATGTATTGTAAAAGAAATTCGTAACGTTGAATTGATTATTGTCACTAGTTCAATAAATGATAAAACTCAGTGAAAATTGGCGAATTCTTAAGGAAAACTTTACACCAAAACGGATAATCTGCATAAGGTTTGCATTTGGTTCCCCCAAGTTAGTGGAGAAAATCATCTTCGATGTAACCATATATATACATAACATATAGTGAGTGCTTTAAGTGAGTCTGAACTTTCGATGGGTAGTATATTTTCGGGTTTACAAGATGTCACTTGTAGTAGGAATAGAAAAGTATAACACTTTATGGATAACTTCTTCTTTATTTATTATGGTGTAGTAGGAATAGACTTACAATTGGCTGCTCTCCTAGTTTTAGCTTTTCAATGTCTCCCTGCTCAAAGAACTCTCCAGCCACCAACTGGGCGACATTCTGTTGGATTTCCCACGGTTTAGCAATCGCAGCGACGTCACACGCCGTCATCATCATTGCTCTGCAACATCATCGACAAGACACATAAAGTCAAGTATCCATTATCAGCACTGGAACGCTGCCAAGTATTTGGAAATGCCACGTTAAGCTGCCATGTCGGATTAGTTCAGAAAACTTTACTAGATTAGTTCAGTAAGCCGATTCCAAATACATGTAATTTTCATGTCCGAAATGATTTAATTCAATGCTTAAAAACATTTTCTTTAGGATGAATCTGAATATGATAAGGAATAAACATTCTAAAATTTATAAACAACGAGATATCAATTCTTGTTTTCAGTGTTTCAATACCTACAACACATAGGAGTGAGTATGGTTGCACGGGTGCTTCTAATAATAATAATAATAATAAGTGCATTTATATTGCGCGATTTTCCATCCGTTGCGGTTGCTCAAAGCGCAGTAGCAATATTCCAGCAATATCACGGCGGTGGACACCAGAAATTGGCTTCACACATTGTAACAATATGGGGAATCGAACCAGGGTCGTCAGTGTGACGAGCGAACGTTTTAACCAATAGGCTACCCCACCGCCCCCAAACACATCGGAATTCTCTAAATTTTCTTTGTTTTATCTGACTTATCCAACAAGACATAAAGGGGTTAATCAAGTCCTAAACATCCCTTAAAGTAGTTATCAATAATATTGTGTATCCTGGAAGACATGTTATTTTATGTTGAGGACTATTCGATAGCTATGATTGTCATCTGAGCACCATTATGGGTTTTCTGATAAAATAATCCTCAGACCTAATGTCACCGCAAATTTGAACAAGGCCCTAATTAGACAATTATTTGTCTTTGTGTTGCTCTCGTTACGTCATGTGGAGATGGAGAACGGGACTGAAGCACCTTTTTGTGACTAACCGTTGTCATGGTAACAGCGATAAACAAACATTTCAGGCTTTTGATGTGTTAGGCTGATGTGGAAGTAAATAGCGGTGAGCGGAGGCAGGGTATTAATTCCGTGGAGAAAAAGCAGCCGCATTTCACCTTGATTGCAAATAAATATTATCAATTTGTCCTCATGGACAAGAAGCAGTTAATTGAGAGCAGGCACATGTTGCCGCTGCTGCCATAAGCAAACTTGCTTTTCTAGATCCATCATCTTGGCACGCAAGAAAATACCATTTCCGGTTTATGCTCCGTCTGGTATATATTTATGTACATTGCGGCGGATTTATAGCTAGGTTCTCGAAGAACGGTGGTTAATTATTGGGGGAAAATAGAATAAGTATTTTCAATCAAAATAGCAGGCTGTTGTATTAACACAAGAAACGTTATTTTGGTGGGTAAACGATCAACAACGTAGCGAGGTGAAAAAGGACTGGCGTGGAAGAAAGTTGGATGGAACCTTTTTATTTATAGTGCGATTCCGGGGGGAAAAGCAATCCAAACAAGTCTTTTAGGCATCGCCTTTTCTGAGATAACTGTATTTTTTGTGATCAATTCAACGGTTTAATTGGTACCTTGTACATTGAAAAAAACCATGGGTTAAGTACAAAGTCTCCACCTAGAGCGGCTACTTCAGATATTTTATAGTATAGTAAAGTTTAACGAACTTTTTTTTAAAAAAGAGAAAAATTTAAGGCGGGAAAGAAGTTCAAAATGCATTTCGACACGCTCGAAATCTGCCCTGCCTAGCCACCGACAATCAGAAAGATGTCTTCCAATCACCAGAACAGCTATGACAAAAATCTCCAGGGTTATTACTCCATAAGATAAAATAACATTCAGATTTTCTTACGGTTATGGAGGGTTTTGTTGCTTTTGTCAAAGCGTTATGAAATCCTAATCATTCTTAAAGAAAGATTCGGAAACAACATTTACAATTTTTATATTTGAATTGTGTTCGCATGCACGATAGTTCAGTGCCAATACCGCGCTATTTTCCAAGGAAACCTATCACTTATTAATTTTCAATTTATACAATATCGGCTACTCTGAAGGCACTTGTTAAATATCACACAACACTATCATCAACATCAACAACAACGAACCATACACATCGCCCATATGACGCATTGCATATGAGTTGGTCTCTTCAACCAGACTACTTGAAATTACTTGATTTCCCCGAAGTATTTCGAACTTGCTTCAGTGAGTGAGTGAGTTTAGTGTTACGCCGCACTCAGCAATATCCCAGCTATATGGCGGCGGTCTGTAAATAATCGAGTCTGGACCAGACAATCCAGTGATCAACAGCATGAGCATCGATCTGCGCAATTGGGAACCGATGACATGTGTCAACCAAGTCAGCGAAACTGACCACCCGATCCCGTTAGTCGCCTCTTACGACAAGCATAGTCGCCTTTTATGGCAAGCACATGGGTTGCTGAAGACCTATTCTACCCCGGATCTTCACGGGTCGAACTTGCTTCAGAGTGAGTGAGTTGGGTTTTAGGCCGATTTCAGCAATATTCCAGCAATATCATGGCGGGGGACACCAGGAATGGGCATCACACATTGTAACCATGTGGGGAATCGAACCCTGGTCGTGTCCATGGCGTGTGAAAGCTTTAACCACCCTCCAACCGACTACTTACTTCAGAAGATCCTTCTTGTATTTGGTGTCGAACGTTTGTTCCCCATCTTCTATCATTGATTTGAAGTCTCCCCGTTTCCTGAAAGGTATAGATACATCTTATCACTGTTTACACACTAAGGCACGTACAACATGTAGGCTTTTAATAATAATCATCAACGTGCTCCTATCATTAAACGGTGCATTTGAGAACATTTTTTCACAGGAAAACGTTATGGAAATCATGATGTATGATCTCTCAATGTAGACAAACATTTATAGATAATCGCTTCTTTTTTACACTGTAATAGCGACGTACAGATCCGTAACGGCGTTACCGCAGACGTTTCTATCCATAAACCTTTTGTCAACTTTCGCCAACTTCTATGATATGTGTATCGAACAAAAACGTATTTTCCTTACTGATATTAACGCAGCCAATATAATACAATCTGAATGCAAGTAGATAGACATGTTATTGATTCACGCCTTTTTTCAAACACAATACTGTCTGTGGAAGGAATTCGAAGACATGAGTTTATCAGAATACGCTGTCAACTTACTTGAAGTATATAGCCAGATCTGTCGACAGAATTGCATGTTCCAACATTTTGATTGCATTGCGATAGTCCCCGGGAGATAAGGACTGGAAGATGTTATTGCCCTGGAAGAAAAACACCCAGCGATAAGCTTGCACAAATTGTTTAACACCGTGTGGAGTATAAAACTGTAAGATGTATCACGAAATCTGTAAATAAAACCCCTGGGTTTCATTAAAAAGGTATACTATTCAAAATAATTTAAACAACACCCGATTCTTTTCATATCACTACAACTGACTGACTGAGTTTAGTTTTACGCCGCTTTTAGCAATATTCCAGCAATATCACATTGTGCCCATGTGGGGAATCGAACCCGGGTCTTCGGCGTGACGAGCCAACGCTTTAACCACTAGGCTACCCCACCGCCCCTATATCACTACAAGATATGGATGAAATACTGGTAGGGGTTGCAACACACAGCCTTCCACTCGCGGATGTTCTTTCACTTATTTGAGTACATGTATATATGAACCCTCCCAGTCTAAATTTTCCTCTCACATCAGCTGACACACAGCGACTGATGCAGAATATTTCATATGTTATGGGATGCGTTTCACGGAGGGTGATAATTTTAAATTAATTTGATTCGCATTAAAAGTTCCAAACACCATTAAACTTAGTTTCTAACTGTTTGTGGCAGGTTTTATCGTTCTAGCTTGCTTCATTTTGTGGAATTGGCATACCCATATTGGTGGTTATTGCCAGATGCCGTGTTCTCGTATCTCCATGTATTGGAATGAATCTGCAAATGTCGATTACGTCTAAAATACAGCACCGTCAATTAATGGATTTACGACACGTTCGCTTCCAAACGCATGGGCGATTAAAGACAAAAAACTATATTGCCATCACAGAATCCTCACATCGACAAATCTCCTTCCGGCAGAGGATGAAAATATTTTCGACAAAGCAAGTATTTATAACAATTTCCAGTTCGCGATCGTACGATGATTGTTGTGATCGGTGAAGTAAGCCAGGATCTGTTGACAAATACCTCGCGGGCATGCGGAAATTAATCAACTACATGTCGCCATTTTGAAATGTGACGCTGTTAGGAGTTTTAGAATGAATTACCGTCAACGTATTTACATTATTATGCATGACAAGAATTTTTTTTTTAAAATTGAGTTGTTTTTAGATGTTTTGATTGACGTCTGTTTACTCTATTATTCTTGCAGAAATATTTGTAAAACATTGGAAACAGTACAAATGTTAATGCATTTGCAGTTTGGCCGAAGTTTTTGCAAGGAACATTTTCTATGGATACCAACATCCAATCTTAATGAACACTCCCTCACGGTATTGAAAACTAGTACGTATTTATAAATCCGAGAAAAGCAACAGAATCTTACACGATCTCCCTACTGTGTAACTAATTCCGACAAAGAGTGATTTTGGTTTTACACTATTCAGTCATATCACGGCGTTTCAGAGGAATGTGGAATGTGGTTTTCGCAACGGCAGGAGCTTAATTAAAGTTAAACTGGGAATCAAATCCAGGACTCGGTGTTCAATCACCGCTGCAACTCGCAACTCTGATGAAACTTGTGTTGATTTTGGTTTTACACTATTCAGTCATATCACGGCGTTTCAGAGGAATGTGGAATGTGATTGGGATCCAGGACTCGGTGTTCAAAAAAGGGTGATTAGGAAAAAGGTATTTCCTTCGGGCAAAATATATAGTATGAACCAAAGGGAACTCAAATATTGCTTTCAGTAAAGTGAGCGAGTGAGTTTAGTTTTACGCCGCTTTTAGCAATATTCCAGCAATATCACGGCGGGGGACACCAGAAATGGGCTTCACACATTGTGCCCATGTGGGGAATTGAACCCGGACCTTCGGCGTGACGAGCGAACACTTTAACAACTAGGCTACCTCACCGCCGTAGAGAATGCACTGAAGACAATATGACAGAATTAACGTTTTATGACAGTATCAACGTCATATCACGTCGATTCAGTAAAAAGTGGAAAACCGGAACTAATACAGGTCGAAAACATTTACCACTTTTGGGAAACTCGCGAGGCACTGAGGCCACGACATGGCACTGAGAAACCTGGGAAATATAATCGGAGCGAACCAGAATTCGAACCCACGATCAGAGGTTTCTTCGTGCTCAGTGTATGCAACTCTGCTCAGCGAACAGAGCCACTTGTGCCTGCTTTTGAAGAGTAAAATTGTCCTTACCTCGCTGTTGAGTATCATGATGCAGTGGTCAAAGTGATGATGCTCCAGCACAGATGTACTGTACAACATGGCCAACGGCGACGCTACTCTGTTGAGAGACGTCGGTGTTTGAGTAACCCGTACTGAATTATGTTATTGAATGTTTCATATGCCTTTACTGTTCGACATATTTATCAGCCCATGTTGTGGCATTTTTGTACCTTATCTAATAGATGATCAAGTTGTGGATTCCATAAAGAGGGAGACCTGGTTAACTCAAACATCATTTACTCGACATAGCTTACATATTACGAACAATTCAGCTCATGTCTTCATAATCCATATATCGGCACTTTTGCCGAAAACTTTACCCCGCCTCCCTCGAACTACTTAAAGGCGATGTAATATCACCCCTATATATATTTTAGGTTAAAAAGAGTTCACTGTATATCTAGTTCAGAAAGTCCGTTCTATATTATAAACCAAGAACTGGATGTTCGTGTTTCAACATCGTATGAGTGAGAAGGTGATTTAGTATGCTTCTACGCAGCCTTGAGCAATATCATGGCGAGGGACGCCTTCGCTTATTATACCTATGGAATCAAACCCGGGCCTGCTGCGTGACGAGCGTACGCTTTAACCCCAAGGCCATCCCATCGCCCATTTGTAACCTAGACGAAAGTCATTTAATAAACATGGACATTCAAAATTAAAAGTAAAAGAAAGATGGGATTGTTTATGTTTTAAAAACAACTATACAAGCTATATTAAAACACGCATTTGTTGGTCAGTCTTATGTTCATGGAGTATACAGAGGGCTACTTACTTGACTTGAAATGCGTTATTGGTGCCCCTGTGATCCAGGTCATGACACAGACAGGCTACCATCAGGGCATATATCTCCAGGTCACCGAACAGTGGGCGTAGCTGGCCGGTCTGCAGACAATACCAACTGTCAGTAATTGAACATAATAGGTTCCACTTCACTAGGAGGAGGTGGTGAGGTGAGGTGAAATTGGGTTTAACGTCGTGCTTGAGAATATTTCGCTCATATGACGACGTGCATGCGTGTGTATGTGTATGTGCGGCTGCTTGTACTAGCCCAGACTTAAGCTGGTTTTATAGTGCTAGCCCAGACTTAACTGGTTTTATAGTGCTAGCCCACTGAGATATCATGCCGCAGTGAAGCATGAATACCCCACTCAGACACAGTATACTGACTCCAAGCCGACCAGTCCTTGTTGTACCCATTAATGCCGAGCGCTAGGCAGGGACCAACAAGTACCATATTTTAACGTCTTTTGGAATGACGCGGTCGGGGATCGAACCCGCGACCTTCCGCTCTCCGGGTGGACGCTCTAACCACTACACCACGGAGGCGGTCCACTATGAGGAAGGTGATGAGGATGGAAATATGAAACTGAAATGGGTCCAACACATGTTGGCTTTCCAAGACTCCCATTCCCCATGACGAGCTGGTCAAATCTTTTTGAATTTAACAACAATCCAAAACATGAACATGAAACATGAAAAACATTGACATAATGGTTGTGCAGTCAGGTTATTTACACTTGTGTTTCCTGTTGTGCTAGGATGTTGTCACTCGGAAATCACCGAGAGTGAGTGTGTATGGCTTCACACGTTGTATCCTTGTGGGGAATCGAACCCGGGTCTGCAGCTTGACCAGCGGACGCTATAACCATTAGGATACCCCACCGCCCCAAGAAATCACAGACATAATGAAACCTATATAAATGAGACTCAGGGTCATACTAAAAGAGCTGCAGTTGATAAGTACTAATGTTATCGCACTTAAAATAGCGACTGTATAGATATTGTAAATGGCAATAGTGCTGATATTTCCGTCCAAAATTTACCATTTTTACGTCCTTGTCAAACAAGCCAGTTACTTCAGTTACCTGCGAAGGACATCTATTGCCATGATATAACTGAAATACTTTCTGGACATCTAATGATGGACATCTCAATTTGGTATCTCGAATCCGAGTCTGTGACAAGCGGACGCCTTGACCACTAGGCTACACCTCTAGCCCATAATGTTTAGAGAGGTTACTTACAAAGAGCATGGTGAACATTGTCTGACACACGTTGAAGGCATGCCGCCAGTTATGGTAGGTGACGGGACGGTAGTTTTTCTTCACACTGGCTGTCCATCGGCATATTACCTACAAGCATCATGTAATGTCAAAGTTACATGACAAGTTCGAAACAAAAAATCCTCAAACGACATGTGAATAAGAAATACAGTTAATGTTGCAATATCATGGCGGCCTGTAATACTCTAATCAGACCAACCAGTGATTCATATTATGAGCAACGTTTTGCTTGTTTCTTTGTGGTCTAACGCCGCGCTCAGTAATATTCCAGCTATGAGGAGGAGGTCTGTAGATAATTGAGTCTGAACCAGACAAGTCAATGGTCTACGCAATTGGGAACATGTGTCAACCAAGTCGGCGCGCCTGACCACCCGATCCCGTTAGTCGCCTCTTACGACAAACATGGGCTACTGAAGATCAATTCTAACCCGGATCTTCACAGGTTTATGAGCAACATCCATCACCGTCGGGATACGACGACACTTAATCATTCTGGACACAGTGATTTGCCATGCACAGGATGCTGGGGACCAGGTTCAACTCCGCATTCCCCGGGGTGGGTGTCATGAATTATGAGGTGGCCAAACAGTTTTCTCTGCTATGAGTCTAAACTAGGTTGCGAAAATAAACCCTGACAGCAAAATATCTTATTTATTATTGCCTCGTGCCTTCACAAATTCTTGAACAAAAGAGACAATTTGTACGGTCTTATTCGGTATTGATATATTCTGAAAACAAATGTTGTTTATAGCTTTCAGTTGGCTCAAAAACAAAAATCATACTTACATCATAAGGCACTTTAAAACTGTTGATGATGTTCGCGTCGGTAAACATTCTGATGACAGCACGTAGTGTATCGTCGTCGCTGAGTACCATGTCGTCGAAGTCGAAACTGTACAGACGGTAGTCATCGGCGGATGGGATTTCGCATTCCTGGGGGAATAAATAAATATGCGCTTAGCAGAAAAAATGGCTTCGCTCTTCTTGAAGAAAAATACCTCTGAGTGAATTTCTTTACACTTGGAACAGTGACATGGATGTACTGGATGTAATGACATAGCTGTCTCGGGGCATCTGTGATTCGAGGTCCCTACGTATTCATAAATTAGCTTGGTTGGATGGTTGGTTGTTTAACGCCGCACTCAACAATATTGCAGCTGTCTGGCGGTGGTCTGTAAATAATTGAGTCTGGACCAGACAATCCAGTGATCAACATGATACCATTGGGATACCGTGACATGTGTCAACCAAGTCAGCGAGAATGACCACGTCACCGGATCCCGTTAGTCGCTTCTTACGACAAGCATGGGTTACTGAAGACCAATTCGAACCCGGATCTTCACGGGTTTCATTAGCATCATTTACTTTTCAACATAGTTCATTATCTCCACCCAAAGAAATTTAAATGTATTCAAATGTCGGTTCCATGAATAATACTATTGTAAGTTCTACAGTTATCAACTTACTTCATTTGTCCTGTAATTTGTAAGACATGTTACAAAGTTCATTTGGTCAGATTATTCAAGGCAATTTTCAACCTCCAAATTTGCACTGCTGCTAAAACTGAAAACTACCGAACGATACGGAAAGATAACATAAGTATTTTAAATGTGTTAAACGTACTATATACCATTACTTACAAGCTGTGATAAAACCTTGGATGTTTTTCATTACACGTTAGTACTAAAATAGGTTCCGTAAAACATCTTTTGGTCTAATTTCAGTATTTCTATCAGGTAATCTCCAAACAACCAACGACTACCAACGAATGTGCATATAGAACGCCGAAGCATCATAACAATCAATCTGATGAAGTGATTCAGTGGATGGTCAAATCCAAGCACGTTCCATAACGATAAATGAAAGGTACTAGTATGCAGTAGAACGTACAACAAGCTTTTCTGTCTCTTCCTTCTGTGCAGTGGCGTGGTAGGAGAGGACTTCTAATGCCACAGTCTGTTTGGCCATCAGGCGACATGCGTTCTCGTACATCTGACAGTTGTGTATTCCAAGACCAGTGAAGATGGAAAATGCCTAGAAGAAGTCGAATTTACACATAAAAGGCCTAAGGATTACATTCAAAACCGCATACATGTATATAATTAATATGAAAGGACAGTGTGACTTCGTAATATAACATAAGTATAATATGTTGTAAAATGAACCTTAAATCAAATCCGTTTAATGCTGTGATATCGGTTGAAAGAGTAATGAGTTCTTTGGTGTAATACCCCTTGTCTATTTGTGTTAAGGACGCTACAAATTTCCCGTTTCAATTAACGACAACCGTATGTCCAGAGACTTGCGCACTTTGGCAAATCTCATACAAAGGTATTAAAACATTTTTTTTCATGAGTATATTCAAAGGAACTAAACATTTAAGCAATCTGCATCATTGACCTTGCACTGGTAACAATTGCGAACGGCATGACCAAGTAACAACTTACCTCAATGATATGCTCATCATTATCATCAAACGGTGAAGAGTTGAGCTTGTTCATCAGTTGTGTCACACCAATGATCTTCTTGTCACTGTTGAACACCGGCATGCATAAGACGCTCCGTATGTGAAAGCCATCGGGATCCACACACTGATGTTAGAATATGAAATAAGGAATTTATAAGGTTGTGGGAAACTTATTTGTGAGTAAGTGCGTGCCTTTAAACAGTATTCCAGTCATACCACGACGTGGGATGTAGATAGATCCGGAAGTGATAATGGCCTTTGGGGATTTTTGAAAGAAGACTGGTTGTTATTTCAGAAATATATGTATAACCACATATTTTAACACTAAAACAATTATCCTTGTGTGTTTATTAAAATCAATCTTCAACGATACATTATATATGGCAGTTATGTTCCAGCAGAACTATTCATGTAACATCGACGTCAGGGAAACCTATTTCAGGATCCCGAGCCATTTTGTAGCACTGATAGTGTATTAAAGAGGATTATTGCCTATAATTAATATTGCATAAGCTATAAGATCGGGTGTCTGCACCACATGCCTTGTCTCATTGATTTCAATACAAAACACAGACAAAATACTATGTTACATGTCTTATCCAGTTAACGAAACAGAACACATGTCTGTAGTTCCAAAAGCAAGACAATTTGTTATGAGTGTATTATCATCTACTCCTTTGACTAAATGATACATATTTTCCAATTTAAAAAGAAATGAATCCTCTTTTTTTACAAATACAATAAATAGGTTAGTCTTCCAACTGCATACTACACAGAGACAATACACACTACAGGTGTATGCAACCCTGTAGGAATATGACCAATCAGAAAAGCACAATTCCTTTGAAATTGATTTTAGGACTGTTTGGGAGATCTTTCGTGGAAGAACCCCCATATGTTTGCGGTTTCAAAGATGTGGAAATTCTTTGACAAACATCGGACCATTCGGTCGTACGGTTGAATTATTCAGTAATTATTGAGTTAAACTATTGTTCACTCACAGGTCCTTTGCCAAATCTTCCATCGATTTCCAAGTCAGGAATATTAACTGCCTGTAAACATAAACGTTCCATTGTTATCCCATTTCCGATAATCACGCACTCTCCTTGTAAAGTATAATGTTGGGTGAAGTAGATTGAATTATCAATAGGCATTGCAACACTATCTAAAACATCTTATACTTTTTTGTACTTGAGACGATAATGTGTACGCTGATTGTAAATGATACTATTCATTCTTACCGTGCCTTGCATAACCACAAATTTGGCAATTTCGGCTGTTTTAGATTTCGCCAGGTCCTTTTGACTGGAAGCAAATAAACAGCGACATTACATACTTCATCTACGGATTCATATCTACTTGTTATTATTATCATATTATATGATATTTGTATAGCGCCAATATCCAGTTCAGCTCAGCTGCTCAAAGGCGCTTTGTTTTCCCTCGATCATAGGATGTCAATCTCAACAGCACATCGTATTTTTCAATCTAACCTCCCTGGGGATCATATAACTGTTGCAGACATTTAGGCGCACCAAGTTAATGTGGCTTTCCCATCCTTACACAGTGCACACGGTTGTGTACTGTATACTAGGGATTGTGACAACACTGAAAGAGTCTGCACACAAAGTTGACTCCCAAGGTTTTTACACCCAGTCACAGGTGGGCTCGACCCCGGCACCTTAAACTTGCGTCGCTTACAACTCTATTCTAGAGTACGTACATGCATAATGTTAACTAGTACATAGCAACAGCATTAACTTCGTTCACGTTTGTTACAGTTCCTACAGCCCTCAACAATAATAACACTACTACGTTCCTCAGAGGAAATAATGTTTCACTAGATTATATAAGTCAGCCAAATATATAATGATTAAGGCGTAAATCAATTAATTATTATTCTTAGATTATTTTCAGAGGGACGTCATCAAAAGATAACCAAACTACGTGCAAGACATTACATCTGGAGGAAGATCTAAGCCAAAGAGTCAATTCCATGTAATGTTTTCTTCAGTTGTATCGAAATAACAACACTGCATGTGACACTTCATAGGAGAACCCTTCTGTGGCACATAAAACAGAAATGGCTCATGACACATCAAACATGGAAAACGTCCTACCTGGGCTCGAGAACATTTTCTCTGTCTTTGGCGTTGAGATAAAAGGCCATCGAGAAGCTCACTTCCTGCGGACAGGGAAGACAATTCCTACTTCAGACACTGCACTGGGTAATGTGATATTACGAACATGAGTGATAAGGATTGGCGTGTTCTCTGCACGCCATTCTATTATCTTTCTCGCTTTGACCTCCTACCGATGTAGACTCCACTGGGATGGAAAATGTCCTTTGCATGGAATAAATGCAGAATCTTTCTGATCTGTGTCTTTTGAAGTATAGCAGTATTATACACTTGAAACCGATTCCAAAGAAACTCTGGTTCAAGGTAATTAAGGACACTGTTGTGTAAATTCAAAGGGTTAATTCCGGAGAATAGTCAGTATCGATTATCTGCCATTGGTCTTACATGACAAAATAGCCAGGACAGTTACATGAATCGATCACTGAAAATGTGACACCCGGTGTTGGCGAAATGGGTAAGCAAGCCCTGTCCTACTGGTAGCAGCCAAAAATAGCTGAAAATATAATTACAATGCCTTACACTGCACAAACAGCACACGTCATCCGATTGTGACAAATAAAGTCTTGTACAGACACCCGCTTGACACGACAGCGCATTCATTAATTTTGAGGACACCAAACACGTCGAATTTTATTCTGCTGCTCAAAAGTGCAGAGATTCTGTTCCTCGAAACTACAGACATGCACCTAAAAACTATGTTCGTTTTGCAACACAGTTTGATCAGTTTTAAAGTGTCAGTCTAAACATTTTGAGATGAGATGATATGGATTTGTTCACCAAGACGCTGTTGATAATTCCGATGGAGTAGCACCAGCTATATATGTTTTTAAGGTTTTATGCAACCAAATTACTATCTAAGCGTAGACGAATCGTCAGATTATCCAGAAAGTAAAACAAGACATTTCAGTAATATGTCATATAATATCGGGCCGATATTATATAAAATATTCCTGAAATCGTTAACTGAAACAAGAGATGCATGTTAAGATGGGGTTCCAATGTCCGGTTCCCCAGTAGAGGTAAACCCATGACAAATGGTATCCATGTAGAGATGTGATACCTACAATGAAGAATATATAAATGGTGCCCGTCAGGTGATAGGGCGTGACACGTGGAGGAGGTTTAAGTCTTAAGGCTAGGTTAGGTTTGGAAGTGTAAGAAGAAAGAATGAAGGTCCAGTTCGTTGCTAAGGGAAGTGATGAACACGGAATGAAGCGACGTGATAGGTTTGACAAATATCTATCTATGGTATTTCAGTTCTACGAGCTAAAGAATTAGGAAAACAAGTTGTGAGAGAGGTGGTGGAAACGTGACGAATGCATATCGTGTTCTTGTCAGTAGGAAATGGAGATGAAATGGAAATGGTCTGTGAAGTATGAATTTGTTACATATGTTAGTAGGCAGTAATAGTCAGAGAAAGTGTCTGAATAGGCAAGCTAAATAGATAGACGAGGTAGTTGCAGTAGCATTGAATGACAGCAAGAAACTGTTACAAGACCAGTGAAGTTTGAAATTAGAAGGCTATTTGTCAGGAATTTGCACAACTGAATTTTCGTCCAATAAAGTAAGATATGAACGATATCGGAAATTAGTAGACTAGCAATTTTAAGATCTGAAAAGAGAGAAAGAGAAAAGAGTTACCTGTAGATTCCGTGCCTCTTTGTGCTCGCCGGAAGTGCTTGAGGGAGTGCTCATATTGCTGGGGTCCTGGGGGTAAAGGTCAAGGTCATGCAAGTGGGATCACTCTCACAACACAATGACAATGAGGTATCACTATGATATTACATGTAGCTTTACACAATGGATATTCCCGGAAAAAGGTGCAGATGTCATGGTGACAAAGGAAGGAGAACACAATATGATGCAGACATAATCATTTAACAGAACAACTACAAATATATGTTCTTAACTACATTCAAATACTTATAATTTGTACCCGACAATGTTGTATTCATTTTATTGCTTTCTTAATCAATATGAGCAATTACGAGTAACATTTTAACACCCAGGCCAGAATGCATGTGGAAAAGGTTAGGTATTAGTAGGTACTAGGCTGTAATACGATGCTGAATAAAAGTCATAAAGCCTATTTTCCTCATGAGAAATGTGGGCTTTTTACCATATTTTGTAATGGAAGCGTGGTGGTCATTTACGCAGTGTTTTGCTGTGCATTTCGACTTTTGTTCAGCATCTAAACAGTCTGTCCAAGAGATAGTTTTGTTCAGAGTAACAAACGTGAAGACTGTGATGTCCGCTACAAGATCTGCATTTGCTAGTTCAGATAAATCATGATATTCATACAACGAACATGTTTGTGAGCGTCAAACATGGACAGTAATACAGGCGAGAATAACAGAAGAATACAGATGTACTGCAAACTCTGAATGTATAGCAGACTAAGCAACAGACCCCAAGGTAAACAGCCTAAAGTTAACAGTTTGATATGAAAATTACATGTAGTTGCATTAATCATTGACCAGTTCCAGATAACCCACCTGTATATATACGTTGCATGAATATCAGTTTTGTTACCACGTACAAGCACATTCTCAGCATTGTTGCTTTGAGTGGTAATATATATATATAAAGGATCTTATCCTGTGTAGAGATATCTAGGATCTGTGCTTCTATAAACAGGGACTAACAGTGTGCTCGGATATAATACTGTGCTCAGATATAACACTGTGCTCAGATATATGTGGGACCTAATCCCGTGCTGAGATATATATGGGATCTAACCCCGTGCTCAACAGCATAGTGTTAATATGATGATAATGATTGGTAGTAGAATACAACATGAGTACTCGGTGCACCTACCGCCTAGTCTATAATAGTTATCAATACGAGTAAACGAATCTCATATGTGTACCCATGACTATTCAAGTACGTACAAACAACAATACCTGCTGCACAATGGTGAGAACGACACGATGCTTGGCAAGAACGTATGGTATTTCAAACATTCTACAGACGGGGGCTTTAGTACAGGAGAATGAATACTAACAAAACGAACCAACAACCACTACTTCAACAGTAAAAGCTATATTCTTCTAAAGCAGAGGTGTAATGACAAGCATTAGTTGTTTAACTATGAACCATGTTGAAGCACTGTACCATTGTATTCGTCCCACCAAGAGGATTTAACAGATTAATATCCTACGGAGAGAAATTCGTCATCAGCATACTACAATTGGCATTTAATGAAAAACAATATAATATATCATGTTAATGTGTTACCTACAGGCATTCGAAGCTAAGTATATGAACGTTTTAAATAATTGATTACATATGATAAAATTTACAATAGCAGCAACAAAACCATTTCCACGTCAAGATGAAATCACTACTAAAAGCAGAGTCGATTGCACAAAGAAATCATATCGATTTCCAAACTTGGATTTGTAGTTTTGAGAATCAGTAACAGCTCCATATGCCTGTAGTGTAACCTTTATCCCTCACACTGAACGCGCATTGGGGGATTAAACAACATGTAAGTAGTATCACCAGAATTAAGACAATATTAGGAGTATGGGTTTGATGTATTCCCTTGGTACCTGCATTGCCATGACAAGGTTTTTATTGGAGCATTGGCCAAGTCGGGCAACAAACCGTTTGGTAAACTTGTGGATATCCTAGAAAAGACATAATGTCAAATTTCTGTTTGAAACTGTATCGGCTGTAATGCTCACCTTTCGACATCGTTGAATATAATTGTATAGTGTCATATATCATTGTTATACGTATATACATGTACAGTTTCATTAGCACAACGGGTACATGTACGAAGTGCAGTATGTGCTGAAATATACTGACTTACCATGAGAATAGTCTAACTGGTTGTTTATAATGACTACTCTCATACTTGGACATCCGTTAAAACTCACAACACAAGTATGAGGTATACTTAGAAGCTCAATGTAAAAATGGACACATTTAATCTCGTAAGTCAAAGTATTGTCTTAATAAAATGGATTGACATACAAATTCAAGGTCATATCCGGCCAATTACTCAACATAAAATAGATATATAGCAACATAACAAGAACAATTATATGTTTTCTAATTGTTTTGAGTTGAATTGTGAAGTGTACACAATATATGTCCATATCATGGTTGGTTAAACGAAGCATTTTGTAATCTATCACATGGAAATGAACATTTAAGCGGTTAGTATTGGAATTAAAGTACTGTCGGAAAACCCGCATTGCTTTTTTTCTGAACTAATCAATCCTCAGTAAAGTCCTTTTCTACGTTTCCTATCTCTCTACCACTGAGATTGTAATTCGGCCGAACTTAGTTTAACGGATATTTCACACTTTCACATATTAACTACATAAATTGTAGATTTAAATGCGAGAAATCATTTTTTTTTCTATTTCCGACAGTACTTTAATATGTACCCCAAAGGCAAGATAAGATAAGTAAGATAAAAGTGTCACGTTTGCACTGTAAACATGTGTTTAGGTATTACACACATGCGTGGCACTTTTAAGTCCTAAACGGAAAAATAAATTGTGCTCATAGTTTCTTCACTTTTTTTGGATACATTTTGGCCAAAAACACCAAACAAAATGTCAAAATCTGCTTTGAATTTATAGAATTTCACACAAACAAAACGGGCGATAGACTATATAGTTACCGCCCTTTCGCGAGCACTCACGTGATAGTACACCCACGTGACTATGTTAATAAAAGGCAGAAATTGTTGAGGGATTAAGTCTACGTCGTTTGTGATAGTATTTCAGTTGAATTTCAATAGATTTGTTGTCGCAGAAAATAACGTTTTTAACAGTACCAACATCGAACATAAATATACATTTTCTCGGACAATTGGTTATTTTCGATCACCAGCCACATATTTACCCTTCCCTTCCCTAGAGCATTAAGTTTCAATACAGAACCTTACATATAATGTCGAATTTTTGACAACATTTTCAGGAAATTCATCTTTAATTAAAAAGTTATAGCCAAAATAGTAATTTCACATTAAGCACTAATAGCTAATACTAATATCATCTTCGAATATTCTGATAGATATATACCAGCATACGACTGTCATGGATTGGAGAGATAATATTATAATTTGAACTAGTATATTGCAAGTCCATAACGTTGATACTGCCCTATCCTTATGCGTCTTTTGAATACTGTCATTCCAAATAATCGTATTGTTTTCAAAATGGCTATGAGTCGAATACCATCTTTTAGTTCCAATTCCAAATCCTTTTACCTAATTACCAGCAGAGACTTAGAGATGATGCTTACATTCTCAAATGTGTCTTCCAGAAGAAAGACACTGCACCTCTCACACTTCAGAAGGTCCTGAGCTTCCACCATGATCTTCTTGACAAGCTTCTCCAGGTTTGTTTGCTCTGCGAATATTCCTCGAGCCAGATGCAGAAGCAACTACAACAGGTACAGCAATGGCGTGGGGTTACATTTGGTTTTCTTTTTGTATAGACTTTTCGTTCTATGTAATCACTAGTATATTATCGATGGATATAATAATATATTTGAATTTCTGTCAAAATCGCTATATGCAAATAGCATATTCGTTTATCTGTTACCCCGATTCACATTTAAGGTTAGAAACATAGATTCAACGAGAACATCGTGTTATTGCCCAAATCAAACATACATGTGACATGTTCACGCTCCGATACTCGTGGCTATCCAAACAATACTTCACTGCAATAAATTTCCACATAAACTTAGTCAAATATTCTTTCTGACCGTCAACGTTAACATAAACAATATATCCAAGTTGTTACTCCTCAAAATATTTTCCAACGTAATAGCCGAATTCACTGCCCGATTCAAATGACGCTCTTCTTAAGCTCAAATACATCTGTCACTTCTTTTAACTTTAAGTTCTTTACCTGGGTATCCAAGTCTTTGTCAAATTCATCAGAAGGTTCAACTTGCATCTTCTTTCTACGCGTCTTGTGTGTCATTTTAACTTTCGAATACAGTCTCCAAAAACACCCTGCCATTGCACACAGTGTCTGTGTTCCAAATACACCATAAACTGGCCGTTGCCATAAACGTAGTTCAACACACGACCTTGTGCATTATACAGAACCTTACACGGCATACAGAAAGGGGACAAAACGCCGCCCTATCTTTAGTCATAACCAAACACGCGTCAAAGGGATCGACAGCCACCTAAAGAATGTTCGGTATATTATGTTCGAACGTTGATCAGATTAACGAAAGGGAATGTGGGACTGTGGTACGAGTATATAGTCTGCAAAGGGTCAGAATTCGAGACCCATGTTGAAACACACTTACCTGGTTCCTTTGAAATTCAGTGACGGACATTTCAAAGAGTTGTGCATTTGTTATTCCAATCCCACAGAATGTCAGGTACTTTCTAAACAACTGGAAAGATAAAGAGGGAAAGGTGTATCCCAGTTGCGACTATAGGGTAAACGTATTCTATTCGGGTAGATTTTAATGGTTAGGCTTTTCAGGAGTGTTTAATGGCGAAATCAAACTGCACCTAATGATTTTGGCATTATATTTTGATAAAGTGGATTAGGAACAGGACGATTATAAACGTAGGAATGGTGGCACATGATAGATGGAATGTATGGAATCACGATTCTTGTGGGATCAATCTCTACCGCATGAATAATAACGTTATATATAACGATGATAAGGAACGGTTTACGCCTTCTTGTGAAACTGACTTGGATATGTCATTGAATAACAATAATGACGGAAGTGTATATCTATTAGCAACAACAAACATATCAGCAAATTCTTAGATTGAAATTTGTACTAAAACACCGTGTATGTGCCTAAAGTATTCAAAGTAGCTTTCAGATACATAAACAAAATGACATGTACGACCAAGAGAAGTTTCGATCCGAAATTGTGACGTAGAATCCATTGAAAATCAAGTGTACATAAAACATGCGGAAGGGGTATGTGATTCTGAAGACGAATTGTTGTCCAAATGGTTCATGATTGAATTTCTTTTCATTTATGGCTTCATGTACTATGTGAAAGAGAAACGGATATCAGATTACAGAAGGTTTGTTCATGTAAGTTGTATATAATTAAATACAAACGGGGTCTTTCATTAAAATGTCTTCTAAAATTTAGATTCTGACACCATTAAGATTACGTTATAGTCACATGTTGTTGTTTGTTGTACTTTGTTGTTTTCGTCACGATATGGCTGAAATATTGCCGATGTGACGTTAAATAATAACTCACTCACTCACTCACTTTGTTGTTTGTTGTACTTTGTTGTTTGTTTGTTGCACTCAGCAGTGTTACAGTTATATGGCGGCGGTCTGTAAATAATCGTGTCTGAACCAGACAATCCAGTGATCAACAGCATGAGCATCGATCAACGCAACTGTCAACCGAGTATGTGAGCTTGACCACCTGATCCTGTTAGTCGACTCTTTAGCTGATGATAATCAGTTCTAACCCGGAACTTTACGGGTGCTCTTGCAAACTACTACTATCAACCATAATGGCTAAGGGGGCGGTGGGTTAGCCTAGTGGTTAAAGCGTCCGCTCGTCATGTCGAAGACCCGGGTTCGAATCCCCACATGGGTACAATGTGTGAAGCCCATTACTGGTGTCCCCCGACGTGATATTGCTGGAATATTGCTAAAAGCGGCGTAAAACCAAACTCACTCACTCATAATGGCTAAATATGCAAACTAAGAATTTTTAACAACTCATAAAGAGGCCCATAGAAGAAACACAGGATTTTGTTTTGAAACCCTAGTTAAATAATCCACAAATAGCGTGGATGTATGAATATGGAATGGCGTATTTTCGCCGCTTTTAGCAATATTCATACAATATCATGGCGGGAAACAACGCGATGAGTGTACGGTTTAATCACAAGGTAACCCACCACACTGAATAAATACTACAATAATGTAGGTTTAGAAATGTATAACGCTTTTGCAATACCCATTGGAATTAATGTGCGCCTATTTCCATCCTAATGTGTCTGGTATTCTGAAACATGTAACATTAAATAGCAGAAAACAAATTAACAACTCCTAGAATATTTGTCAGAATTCTCGGCCTCAATGCTCACGTTTCTCGTGTGTTGTCAACACCAACTTCGGAATAGCTTGCGACATGCTAGCACTTAGGTGGATTAAAAGGTTTTCTCTTACAACTCACCTCCTCATCCTGACGTGTAAATTCGTGATTCCCATCAATCTTGTTGATTATTTGCGCAACACCGATTACCTCCCCTTCATAGTTGATGATGGGCAAGCACAGGATGCTGTGGGTTGTATAGCCTGTGCGTTTGTCAACTTCTTGGTTGAATCGTGGATCCTGTAAAAAATGCATGTTCTTGTTACATCATGTTATTACGAAACCTTTTGTATAGTTGATAGGATCGTACATGGGCAGTTAATTACAAACATATTCCGCAGTCCAGAAGCACATCAAGTAACCAAACACAACTGCTTACATGGTAGGTGAGGTGAAATTGGGTTTAACGTCGTGCTTGAGAATATTTCGCTTATATGACGACGTGCATGCGTGTGTATGTGTATGTGCGGCTGCTTGTACTAGTCCAGACTTAAGCTGGGTTTTATAGTAATAGCCCACTGAGATACCATGCCGCTGTAAAGCATGAATACCCCTCTCAGACACAGTATACCGACTCCGAGCCGACCAGTCCTTGTTGTACCCATTAATGCCGAGCGCCAGGCGGGGACCAACAAATACCATATTTTAACGTCTTTTGGTATGACGCGGTCGGGGATCGAACCCGCGACCTTCCGCTCTCCGGGCGGACGCTCTAAGCACTACACCACGGAGGCGGTCTGCTTACATGGTAAGCTACGCTGGATGGTGGTGAGCAATCTTAGATCTGCTATTTGTATCTCCAATACTTCAACATTGACAGCCATAACGCTAATTTCGCTTTGAGGAACCTACCCAAATACATAAACTGTAAGTAAATCTGATACATACCAACTAACTAATGATTATACTGTGTTCAGAATTATCTTGAACTGAGCAAATAGAAATACATGTTCTAAAGCATCATGGTATACTTTTCAATCAAACTTTTTAGTCCTTAATGTCGGCTTCCATATCTTTCCGATGTTCTTTCATCTTTAATATGTAATATAACGGATTCCTTTCGACCAATATAGATACCTTGTTTGAGTGGCATTTGATACATTTGAGAAAACACGGCGTTGAGAATTTCTAAAGTGAACCAACACTGGCTCAAAGTTCAAATTGTTGTGTCCACCTTTGTATAAAAGCTGGAATGTTAACTGAAACTCACGCACCCCTAAAATATATCTAAAATAAAAACGAAACACCACTTAAACATATACTTTTTTGAGGCCAACATATTTGCATTTCAGCCAGGGGAAAGAATCAATAAGTATAGCTAACATGTATACGAGTAAACTCGTATATGAGCATCAATATTTAACCAGTAGATGTAATACAAGGATGTGTCTGAGATTCTCAATATTCCTCACCGGTGAGGCAGGATCCGCTCCCTTTTTCGCAAACACCTGGTATCATCGCTGTTTTGATAATGGTTCATAAACGCATAGACATGATGTAATCAGAATTGTACAATCGACTCTGCTTTCAGCAGAGATTCGCATGGACGTTGATAGGGTTTTTGTCGCATTTATTTGTAACTATTCTTTAATATAGCTGGAATATTGTTGGGTGCGGGCTCAAACAAATATACAAAACGTAGCCATACAGTAACCTAACGTCCCGGTCATTTATGTCAATATTAGTGCTTTAGAATACACATTTGTTCTGTTCCAGCAACGGTCTCCCCTACAATTTCCGATCGTTTCAAGGTTTCTTCTAAGTGAGTTGTCAGATACTCTATACAAAGCGACAGTCTTGTCTCTCTCAATGTTCTTTGTTATTTACTATTCAGTTGCCAGTTTTGCCGTATGTCAAAATATGACAGGGTCTAAAGGTAAAGCTGTAGATTTCGCGAACACCTGATATCGACCAAGTTTTGATACAGATTCACAGATATGGGAGGAATCGTACAGTGGACTTTTAGCGGAGAGTTAATTTACAGAAATCTTTGGCTGAGTTACAGTTAATGTACAGTTTGGTATTCTATTATGTCTGATCTTTGTCTGTTTGATGTTGGACGTCGGGGTAGCTAGTGGTTAAAGCGTTTGCCCATCACGCCGAAGACCCGGGTTCGATTCCAGACAATGGGTACAATGTGTGAAGCCCATTTCTGGTGTCCCCCGCCGTGTTATTGCTGCAATATTGCTAAAAGCGGCGTTCAACAGAACTCACTCACTGTTGGACGCCGCACGGAATGATAGTCCAGCAGTATAAAGGCGCCGGTAGATATTCGAACCTGGACCAGACAATCCAGTGACTGATACTGGCAACAGGGCTCCATCCAGTGAGTTAAGTTGACACGCAGCCAACCAAACCCCCAACCGATCAATATAGTCGCCACTTACGACGGGCATAGGTTTGAGCCTAAGCAATGGCGGTATGTGTTTACGTTGGTTTGTAAACACCTGGCTCATCTTCAAAGTTTTTGTCACACTCGTTAACCCAGCTCCCCCGCTGTGAAACCTCACCCGTATTTCTCGTGTTCTGACAGCCCCACAATGGAACATGTCGTGGACCATGGACACTTGAGTTTTGGTCATAACAGACATGTGTGTCCAGTCTTTGGGCATTAATACGCATGCTCCTTGATAAAGCTGGGGCAACATGAATGATATATTGCCTTTGTGCCTTCAACACAGACTATTCAGTGATGAAACTCTTTAACCCTCCGCTATCTCACCTCTCGTCAAGGGCATTTTGGTATTAAGTAGTTGTTTGGGACGGTTAATGCCCTATTTCGATACAGGTCAATCGTGTAAACAAAATATATACGGTGAGGTCGTGAAAGACATATTTCAACAACAGACGTGACAAATAATATCCAAAAGATTACTTTCTCCACTACACATTACTAATAATACATTAGTCATCATAGTTTTCGCTCTGTAGACTGACTGACTGAGTTTAGTTTTACGCCGCCTTTAGCAATATTCCCGCAATATCACGGCGGGGGACACCAGAAATGGGCTTCACACATTGTGCCCATGTGGGAATCGAACCCGGGTGTTCGGCGTGACGAGCCAACGCTTTAACCACTAGGCTACCCCACCGCCCCTCGCTCTGTAGAAATCGCATCCTATGGCAAAGTTGATATATATAAACGTTAATTAAGCAACAGTTTCTTCTGTTCCAGTTTATCTTATTGGTCAGGGATGACACATTACAACCATGTGACAGTTTTCTGTAAATCATCAAGTCTGGACTCGACAATCCGGTGATCGATATTGAGATCATAGATCGAAGGATACAGTGACATGCAATCACCAAAGTGACCGATCTTGACCACCTGATTTTGTTCTTAATCTTATCTATTACACAACGGTATGTTTCTCAGAATATCAAGGCATTTGTCTGGCTCTTCTGAGGTCGGCCCGTGACGATCCGGGTTAGAATTGGTCTTCAGTAACTCATGCTTGTCGTAGGGGGGCGACTAACGGGATCGAGTGGTCAGGCTCGCTGACTTGGCTGACACAAGGCATCGTATCCCAATTACGTAGATCGATGCTCATGCTGTCGATCACTGGATTGTCTGGTACAGGCTCGATTATTTACAGACTGTCACCATATAGCTGCAATAAAACTAACCTCACTCACTTAAATCAAATTTCAAACTTTTCTAAGAACAAAATACCAACATTAATATAACGAACTTACTCCATACTCGGAATTACAGAATGTATATCCCTCGTGAATTAAAAAAGGGTCTGAATTTACAATATATGAACTCGGGATAGAAAATTCATAGAGTACTCTATCAATGTATGATTTGAAATAACAATATTTTCTTCAGTGCTTCTGCTTATAGTCTTCAACATTATTCTAACATCACAACTGCACTACCAATTAGGAACAAAAAGAAATATAATGATAAATACACAATGTTGCCTACAGAAACATACAGAACGAATAAAATAGAAAACTTGTGTTTATGTCTTTAACAACAGTGAGGGCATTTAAGTACCATCACGACGACGACGTTCGTCCTTGAATATATTGGGTGAAATTATAGGCGTGGTGTTTGGGTTCAAACGCACCTATATCAATGAATATCCACAAGGAGTAAAGCTTCCAATCGAATCTTAAGCGTCCCGGGAACATTATCTTGTATAGGAGCGTACCCGGACATTTTATGTTCCACTATAAGCTGTAGAAATGTAAATAAGGACACACACATGTGATAATCATTCGGCTCTTGCCCAAGATATGTGACTCGCTGGTTTGACGAGTGGTACTTGAAAATTGTATGGTTTATTGAAATAAATATGATAATCTCAAATGAATTATAAGGAGCTTCATGAATGAGCTTTCTGTGGAAATGGAATATGATACGTCACGCATATTAGTTGAAACCCTTGAAGATAAATGCATTTTGTTAAGCGAGTGTTTGATAAAATAAATAACTCGAGAAAATTAAACGCTTGGGCACATCTATTAAAAATGCCTGTCAGTAAAACCAGCACACCAATACAGCAGTGGTATCAATGACAGCGTTTGTTAGATATATTCAGACGTATAAGAGGGTGAGTATGATTTTACGCCGCTTTTAGCATATTCCAGCAGGGAACGGGGGACACCAGAAATGGGTTTCACACATTGTACCCATTGGGGAATCGAACCCGGGTCTTCAGCGTGACGACCGAACGCTGTAATCACTAGGCTACCTCACCACAGTATGACAATATATTAAATGCAAATTATAGCCAATACCTGTTACAGATAATTTCACAAATCAGTTTAAACAACTACATAAGACCCAAATCAGTCTCGATTATTTGCGGAAACAGATTATATCAATAGCATCATCTAATGACATGAAATGTGTTTTAAAAAATTGAAACATTCCAATTCTGTCCGAGTGCATTCTCTGCAATGCTGGTATGGCCAAGGTATTGACATGTGATAGATTGATTATAACAGGGCGTCATTTTCTTGCCCTAAGTAGCATAATAATGTATGTCAACTGTATCACATTTACCCTATCCACGTGCAAACAGGTGCAAGTTGTGTGATAACATCATGGTCGAAACGTATAAAAACCTGCACGCCATTGTTGATGACGTCGGTAACAGTATACATACAATTACCATTACGACCCTGAAAGTACCGTTAGGGTTGTGTTAACAATTAACTGCGAAGCCAGTTGTCGCAATGGGGCGCTCTGACGTAAACGAAAAGGCCTTTGCCACTTACTGGCGACG